GCGCCCCCTCCACCGCCGGCGGATGCGAGGGTTGGGGCTGTGGGGTTGTTGGGGGCGGAGGTGCTGGAGGAGGTTAGGGAGCCGGGGATGTTAGGGGTGCTGGAGGTGGATGTTAGGCCGGGTGGGTGATTGAGGTTGGACGGCATTATGCTGTGTGCAGGGGAGGGATTAGCGCTTTTACGCTGCGTGATAGGCGGGCAGAGGAGCAACACAATGGAGGGTTAAGTGTGACCTACGATGATCGCGCTCCACCTGCACCGAACGAGGATGCCGCTGGTGTATGGAGGAGGCCGATGGCGGAAACAGAATTCAGACGATTCTTGAGGGCTGCGAAGGCGGAAGATTGGGGCAGAAGCATGAGAAGTCCATACAGGCACTTATAGAGGTAGGGGTAGCGGTCTGGTTCGAGAAGTTGCAGGCGGAGGTCTGCAGAAGAAAGCGTTAGCTGAAACATGTCCAACACGTAATAATATGTAAACAGAGGCTGGACGAACAGGTAAAGACAGGTGACTCCAACAGCTGGACAAGTTTGTCAATTTGAATCAGCATATTGACGGTCATTTCCAGCTCAGCAAAGATCTGGAGCAGGTGATACGCCTGCTCATAGGCTTGGGCGAGCAGACAGAGGGAGAAGGTGGCTACAGCGTTCTGGCACCACGATTTGAATAGTGCGACGAAGAACATCTGCCCGTCCTTGGTCTCAAGATTGCGGAGTCTTTTCCGCAGATCAGCCAACTCCGGTGCGGTGATGAGATTGTTGTTGAGGTTCTGCACCATGATGCTGGTAAATTCGATGTCTTCATCCTTTTCCAAGCACTCGGCGAGGGTTCGGTATATGCGCTCTGGTACAAGATTCATGCAGAGCTGTCGGATGATCAGGTTGCCCCGGATCTCGAGTAATTTTCGATCGGTGGAGAAGAGCTGGAGAAGGTTGACCATGAAGGACGTGAAATATCCATCTTCACTGTTTCGGGATATCTGCGATAGCAGCTGAAGGTCTCGAGTGACAACCGCCTCTGCGGGATCGGAAAGGGTTTTAAGCAGTGCTGGAAAGGTCCCATCATTGAATGCTAATACTTTTCGGGGTGCCTTTCTATGCAGCATGATGAGCCAACCCAAAGCCGCGACCCGTGTCGCCTCGTGTTCATTGAGAAACTGCAGCGTCAATGCATTGACAGCAGCAGCATAATCGAGATCGGCTTTGGCTGGAGGACTTGGAGGATTGCTGCTCTTCAGCGTCGATTCTCCCGCTTGGCTCTTTGTTCTTTCAAGCGATTCTGTGGAGGCAGTGAGCGGTTTGATGGTTGGCGCTGATGCTCTTCGATCGGGTAAGTCGGTAGTCTTGGTAAAGTTGATAGGGACGGTGGAAGGTGGTGGCATTAGCTTGTCGTCCGAAGTGGTGCTGTCTTGCAAGGTCACTATATAATCCATCAATGATCTGTTGACTCGACTTGCTGTTGTCCGGACTTGATCTGAATGTGCGGACAGGGCTGGTAATACTTGCGAGAGAAGTGGAGGGACGAATTGTAGAATATCCTCTGGGCTGATTTCGAAAAAGCTGTCAATCCATCGAAGAGCAACAATGCCGATCTCTTGTTCCTTTTCTCGACTGACACCGTCCGATCTTGGGGGATCAGTATTCGACCGCGTGGTGGTATCCACAAATTGAAGAAGAGTTTCCAATATCCTACTGTAATCAATTTGCACATCCTGACCAGGAATCCAATCTCCTTCTTGATCGCTGCGGAGTTCCCGAGCAGTCTCTGAATCCGAATCTTCAATAGCATTATCGGCCGAAGCACTATCACCAGTCGGTCCGCTGCCTGCAGGACTCTCTGGGGATCCCTTTGCACGGTCACTGTTTCGACTCCTTCGGCTCTCTTCAATCCCACGTTTGATTTTCGCAATCTTCTTGATCTCGGTGAGGAATCTTTCCAGCAGACCCTGGGTTGCAACATAGACGTCGCGATTGGGATCGCTGAGAAAGCGGAAGAGCCCACCGAGAAAGTCTGGAAGGTAATAGACCAATTCGAGATCGGGGATGGTGTCCAAAAGCGTCAGCCACGAGACTAGAAATGTGCGAGTGAACGGATTGATGACATGGATGCGCTCCTGCAGAAGTGGGATAAACTTGGCTAAAGAGAATGCCATGGGCAGATCAGCGCTTGATGTCTCGGGATCGAGACCATCTCCTCCAGCACGTTTCTCATTGTACTCTAGGACGGAGACGTATGAGGCAGCGGATTCGGCAACTATATCCTTAACCAGGCGGTCCAGAAGTTCCGCACCATTTTTCACAGAAAGCTCTGAGTCTGCTGCGAGCTGTGTATAAATCAGCCAAGTCCATCTGTAGTCAAGCGCGAGAGTCACACCTTGCACAGCGCGTCGAAGATGTCATTGAAGAAGACCAGAATCTCCCCCTTTGCCACCTTGGCGATATTGTACATGCTTTCACAAGCATAATATCGTACCCGGGCATCCTGATCAGTAAAGCATGCGAGTACTGGTGGTACGATCTCATGCAGATAGCGGGCAACCTCTTCCTGTCAAGAGCATATATCAGAAAAGACAAAAGTGAGAAGGCGAAGAGAGTAGACCAACAGAGCCCAAGGCAATGGAGGCGGCAGCAAGACCAATCAATCCGCCATTCCTGGCGTGTGGCTGATGCACCGCATAGGCATACTCGTGACAAAGCTGTTCCACAATCTTTCGGATCCGCTCGTACTCTTTCCCCGCGACTGCTTCACGGACCAGGCGTTCTAACCTGCGTCATACTCAACCGACATTGTTTTCTGGAAGCGTGGTGGATGGGAAGCGCTTACTCGAGAGCCCCCTGTTTTCTCTTGTCGTAAAGCTTGTCTGTCAGCAATCTTTGCACGGCTGGGTCCATTGTAGTCTATTGTTATCGGTGGCGCTCATATCGTGCCCTATCAAAAATGAAATCGTCTGGCCGGTTGAGCATTGGGTAGCGTGGTGATTCAGCAACAAGTACGTTGGGATGGATCGAGGCTGTGGCACACCTTTACCTTTACGTAGTACACGTCCCAACTCAATGACACGCCGTCAATGAGCTTATGCGCTTGAGAGTAATCAAAGCTGCAGTCGCGTGGTACAATGCTTGAAAGCACCAGTCGCTTCCGCGGCTCCGGCAAATGTTTCCGTGCAAGGCTGCTGAAAAATAGGCGGTACAATACGGAGTACGGAGTCGTACCCCAAAAGTAGTGCAAATACGCTAATATTAGAGCCTCACTGGCGCTGCTTAGTTTAGACCTAGTACACACACTAATTTGTATGGCAGCCTGGTAGGCCCTAAGAGCTACCTATAACAGTTGAGCTCTACACTGATATTGATAGCGAATTCATAGCTGCAGAACCTCCTCCTCCTCCTCCTCCTCCTCCTCCTCCTCCTTCTCTTTTCTTAAGAGGGGTAATAAGTACAAAGAGGGCGTTCAGGGCTTCAAACGCAGCAAGACAGGTACTAGAGTCAAGCGCAAGCTCTCAAAACTGCAATCTATCAATAGAAAAACTCAATACCAAGCAATTGAGCGTAAGAATAGCGATGATAAAGAGTATCTAGCGTTAAGAGCAAGGAGGAGTAATCCTGTTCTAAGTTCCATACAAATTAGTATAAGTGCTAGAGCAGCTAGTCTAGAGTAGTCTCTGACGCTAATATTTGCGTATTTGCACTACTTTTGGGGCCCGACTCCGTACTACGCTACGGTTTCAGGGTAACAGCATGGGATGTGGGACATGATATATTACATTGTCAGTCTTGATCATGTTCGAGATGTCAGATCGAAGACTTGCTTTGCGGTCTATGACTGGTCATTGCATTGCGAACTACGAGCTCTGACAGGTCTCCAACAACAGCAGCAAGCGTCATCTGTATTGTTGTAATCGCGAGTCTCAAGCTACAACATCCTCCTCAATGGCTTATATATTGGAAGACAGCGCTCACCGCGTCCTCTGTAGTCTCCTGTCTGAGCAGCAGATCCTGTATCTTCGACAAGGGCCCACATTCCCCTCCTGAGTTGACAAAGTGGTTCCAGGTGCTGGTGTCACCGTACAGCATAGCCGGCGCTTTGATGTGCTGAGTTCCATCTGGCCGACATCTCTTGCATTTGAACGTATCGTGAGTATCGCTCGTGGTGTCCGGCTTGAATTGGAACAGCTCTCGCAACGAGTCCAGTGTGAAATGCCGCTCTACATCTTCAGCCGAATCGACCACGCAGGATGACAGTGCCTGCTTGTGAGATTGTCGTTGGAAAATCTTCTCCTCGATCGTTCCTGTGCCCATGAATCGGTAGACGAAACAGTCTTTCTTTTGTCCATCACGCCAAACTCGAGCCAATGCCTGTTGATCCGCTGCTGGATTCCAGTCAGGATCAAAAAGCACGAGTCGGTTGGCACCAATCAAATTCAGCCCACACCCACCAGCCTTGCTGCTAAGGAGGAAGACGAATTCCTCACCTTCGGGATTGTTGAACTTGTCGACAAGCTTCTGTCTCTTGCTGACATTCATGGTGCCATCAAGGCGGAGACAGCCATAGGCTCTTGACCTACACAGCCTTTCAAAGACATCAAGCGTTTGCGTGTAATTGCTGATCAAGACAATTTTGTCATTGGTGTCTTGTCTTATCCGTGCTAACATGCGATCTAGAACTTGCATCTTGCCCGAATACCACGGCTTCACATCACGATCGCGGCCTCGAGAGTCTTTGGGAACATAATCATCCGGCCAATACTTTTCGCTACCGGGAAGATCAGTTGCGAGATCGAGCAGGTCAGGATGGTTGCACAGTTTCTTCAAAATGCCAATTGCCTTCAATGGCTGGCTGCCCTTGCCTCGGAGGAGGCTCTTGATGTCAGGGCTGTGGATGAAGTGGTTGTACAAGTCAAGCTGAAAGGGAGCCATCTTACAAAAGACGACATGCTCGTATTTGACGGGTAGGTACTTCGAAAGAATGTCATTCGTTCTGCGAATGATGAACTTGTTCACCAACCGTAGTAGCTCCGCAGTGGCCTCGTTCCCTCTCTGCCGATCTGCGTCAGAACCTGCCGCATCTCGTCCACGGAGGATGGGTAACTCGAACTTCTTGCGGAAGTCGTTCTGGGATCCCAGATAATTGGGGTTGGCAAAAGTGATGAGCGAATAATACTCTGTCAGATCATTCTGGATAGGAGTTCCTGAAAGGATGACACGACGGTCTACCTTCAAAGCGTTGAGAGCCGTAAAGGTCAGACTTTCCCCATTTTTCAACCGATGACCTTCATCGCAAAGCAAAAGTCCAATCTTAGTATCAGCCAATTCATTGGCGTTGAGTCTCAAAGTCTCATACGACACGATCAGTACTGGCCTAGTAACTGCTCGTCCTGACGCGATTGCCCATTGTCTCAGTTGCGACGTTAATTCTGCTTTAGATGCTTTTCCATCAATAGCAAACGGTGTGACAGCATCTGGACCAAGCCATTTCACAAGCTCGTTGGCCCAATTTCGGACCAAGCTCGAAGGACAAGCGATAACACATTTCTGAATCGTTGTCTTTCCTGCATCCGGTGATTGCTTCAACAATGTCCACATCAAGGCGATACATTGTAACGTTTTACCCAGTCCCATCTCGTCTGCCATGATACATCCATGAGCATTCTCATCGATCAGACCTGTCGTGCACCGGTATAGGAACCTCACACCCTCTACTTGATGTGGCCGGAGAACTTTTGCCAGCTTGGGATCAATCACTACTGGCACCTTCGCTCGTTCTTCAACTTTCTTCTTGAGGCCCAGAATATCGGCTAGAGTCTTGTGCATCAACGGGACATCTAGAACTGCCTTTTCTTTCTCTTTGGCCCCGACCCCGACATCCCCCGGACCAGTGTTAGGTTTACCGTCGACGGTCGGGTCGTACAGGACAATTGCGAATTCCCCGCTTGGGTCATGCAGTGGTTTGACAATAAATGATGCGCCAGTCCTCATGCCCAAGGACCGGGACGGTCCAGAAGAATTGTAACCTCCCGCATTCTTGTTGACCATGGGGACAGCAAATCGCGCTCGAAAGGTTGACTCTTTGTCCTTGACCTGAAATATAGGAAATCGGTTTGCCTCTCGGTTTGCAAGAGCAAGGCGATCTTCATTTGTCCATGGCTTGTCCCCATCCTCCGCCTCCCCGTCTGCATTTGCATAGTTGACTTTCCGCCGCTTCCTTGCTGGCTTTTCTGATGTTCGAGAGACTGTAGATGACCCAGGACACTTGAAAGGTTTTATCAGGCGGTCCAGCGAATTTGTAGAACCACCACTCAGCCTAGTTGCTTTCGATGGCGGGATGTTCTCTTTTCCAGCTTCGATACAGGCAACCTTGGGTCGTATCCTAGAGGATCTTAGCAATTGCTCAAAAGCTTCACCAAGCAGACCTACATTTCGTAAAGCAGTGCTCAGTAGGCATGCGAGGAGCCGCGCTTATGAATACTACACAACCAGAGAGTATTGTGGCAAATCGAGGAGACGCGTCGGAGATGTGCCAAGAGACGCGTCATCACGTGACCGTACTTTCAATCACAATCCCAACCAGTACTCCGTATCAAAATCTTCTCTTCGATGTGAGTTCTATCTGGCTAGAGTTGTCCGCTAATGTATCTCCACCACCTCTCCCATAACAGTGTTGATTTTTGATCATAGCTCTGGCTTAGGCTCGTCCAGAAGAACGATTGCCTCGATCTCAAAGCTGTTAGCACAAATCAAGTCCACTTTACTAGACCCATGGCCATCAACTCATAGAGGAATAGTCTTACATTACATATTGAGATGTCATCGGACTTCTGGGCTGGCTATATCAGTGGTGCCGTAAGCATCTCGGTGGGCAACCCACTCGATGTTGTCAAGATTCACTTACAAGCTGGCCGCCATGTCTCGATCCCCTTTTCACATGCATCGAAGCTTAGAAACGCTACTGCTTTGCTCAAAGGCATGTTGTATCGTTCTGACTTCTTCCTACGTTTTGGGGTCTGATTGAGTGTATTCCTTGAGCAGGTGCGGCAGCTCCTATCCTAGCATATGGTGCTCTCAATTCACTGCTTTTCATGACCTACAATCGATCCTTGAGAAGACTTGATCCGTCTATCACAGATCCTACGCACTTGCACGGCGTCGGTCTACACACAGTATGGATTGCTGGGGCTACCGGAGGTATCGCTAGCTGGATCGTGTCTGCTCCTTCAGAACTAATCAAATGTCGTACACAACTTCACGCCGGAACTAAGACCAATTCATTGACCATCTTTAAACATGTTTGGCGAGAACATGGCGTACGAGGACTGTATCTGGCAGGTGCTATAACCAGCGTTCGAGATTCAGTAGGGTACGGTTTCTATTTCGCTTCGTATGAGCTTTGCAGACGGCTCTTTGCATACCATCGTACTGCTCCTGAATTGGATACAGCAGGTATCGATGTCTTGGTCAGTGGTGGAGTCGCTGGCATCATCACGTGGGCTTCCATCTACCCGCTTGACGTGATCAAAACCCGTATCCAGGCTGAAGGCTGGGAAGATAAACAAGAACCACGATGTCAAGCATCCAGAAATAGCTCTCTTAAATTGGCGAGAAGCATCTTCAAGAGCGAGGGATTAGTAGCATTTTATCGCGGGTTGACCGTGTGTAGCGTGCGTGCATTTTTTGTGAATGCGATACAGGTTCTCTTTCAATACTTCCCTGTTTCTTCCCACATGCTCACTTCTTGTAGTGGTACACTTATGAGAAGCTCATGGCTCTCTTCTCTCCCTCTGACAGCACGAGAAATGCCTCCACTGCAGCAGAAGCAAGGGCCTCGGCCGACCTGTGAAGGCATCCTCTGTCTGCCGATCGCCGTATCAACCTACAAGGCCTCCTCCTGAGCTGCTCAGAACAAGCCCTATATGTCGCAGGTGTTTCCATTGAGAACCTGTTGGCTCAGCTCTTCTTCCGTAGACGTACACTAGCCTGTGCGTTTCTTGCGCTAAGACTTGACCAGAAATAAGGACTACAATCCTCTGGGCTGAACTTGTCTCGATCATTTCACAAAACCTTTATTGCGCCGTTCAATCTTTGGTTTGAGGCTCCTCTTCAATGTCCATGGTTTGGTCTGCGTAGGATCTATCCTCCCTAGTCAAACCTACCGCCGCTTCAGCAGCCTTTTGCGTATGAGCCTCTTCTTTCAAGAATCGCGCGCTGAAACGCAGGAGTCAGCCTCAGGTCAACGAGCTTTTATCGCAGAACCCTAACCGTCGCTTGTGGTTCTTCCCTTTGCGGTGGGCCACCAGGTTGTGCTCTCCTTCGAACCACTTTGCGCATTCAATGCAGTACCATTGTCCCAACCCAGGTAAATCTTCGGCTGCTTTGGTGGATTGATATCGAGCAAGGTGCTTCGAGGAGGCAATGTCAGCTTTCACCTGATCGAGGTCTCTGTTCAAGCGTATTAAGAGAGGCACCCTGGCAAGGAATGGTTGGGTGTACCTGGTCCTGCGCTTCGTCTTGCTTCGTCGAATGCTGCCCATATTTGAGGAGGCTCAAATCCAACTCTATCCTATGGACTGCTGCTTGATCAACTTGTGAGAGAAAAATAATACTACGTAAATGATTTAGAGTGGCCTTGGCAGGTGATCAACGCAGTGTGGCGTGTGCGGGGAAGTTGAAGGAGCAGGCCGAGGGCAGAACCTTTGGAGGGGGAGCATGTGCCAAAAACAACGCTGCTTCAACTGTGTTCGTTCCGCGGGAGTCTAAGCTTGATCATGCAGACATATGGCGTCCTTGGGTTTTGATTCTCTGCATGGCATCTCATGAGTGAACGATTGTACTACTTCTAGATTTTGAGGACCGTCGATAGTTGGTGTTGTGATGAGTATCCCCTACTACGGTAGGAGGCATAAGTATTGTTAGTATGAGCTAGTGATAGCTAGTATTTGATACAAGGGTCTGGCATCCTCCGGAGCTATCGTAAGTCTTGACCCCTCATTAATCATGGTGATTGGCTCTGTTCTATGAACCATACAGACTCAACGTCGTTTCAGTAAAGTGGAACTTCCTCAAGCTATGTAAAATACAGAATTTCTAGCTTGAAGCTAACAATACTTATGCCTTATACCGTAGTATTGCACAGTAATGGGAGCTCTCACACTGGCTGTCGCCCATGTGCAAACCACTGAGTAGCAATCCCAGTGCGCCGGAATGGCTAATGCCTAGCATACAATTAATTACGCGGTTTAGAGCAAAGACTGCGTAGTAGGATAAGAGAGTTATCGAATTTAGCTTAGCTATTATCAATTAAGTACGTTCTCTTCAGATTCTCAAGGTCCAGTTGCCTCCACCCAGTTTCGGGCGCTGGGAGCGACCAAGCCGTCCTTCTCCCTCACAATCACGTATCTACACTACACCCACAACTTCTCCACCCTCTGTCGATACCTAAATCTCTGGCAAGCTGAGGGACTTGCCAACCTCTGGACACATTCTGAAGCTTCAATATCGCCGCCATCATGTTTTCAACAAGGTCTGTCGGCCGAGTGTGCTCCCTGGTAAGCTTCCCCTAAGCTCCGCCTTTGCTGATCAGATAACGATTTGCTCGTACCCCTGGGCCACTCCACGCAGTTGATGGCCATGATTTCCCTTCGTCGTCTGATTTTGACCATGGCTGACATATCGTGTAGGGCGTAAGGGCTCGAGCTGTAAGTGGACAGCCCTTTAGCATCAATAGCCATGCTCACGACATCCAAAAGATTCCTCATACTCGTGCTCTGGCCACAGTCCGCGATGCTCCACTCGATAAAAAGGTGGAAATGAGCAATTGGGAGAAGGTAAGCGGTCGTGCTGGAAGTATAAAAGTCCTTCACCAGCTACAGTAACAGTGACTTTGAAAATAGTTAACTAACCTGGTCTACAAACACAGGGCAACTACATCAATTACAAGTAAGACATCCCTAGGCAGATCTCCTGTACCTGAGTCTGCCCGTCGCTACACTGCAGTCCTCGAACCCTTTCCCCTTGAGCATGAGGTGCTTGCGATAGCATTTTCTGACCCGATTCAAGGAAAATGTCCGAGAACCTTTCGATAGTCCGTGGCCGCCTGAACCGACCTCTCACATATGCAGAAAAAATCCTATACTCACATTTGGACGATCCGCACGGGCAAGATATCGAGCGGGGTGTCTCATATCTCAAACTCCGACCAGATCGTGTGGCCTGTCAAGATGCAACAGCTCAAATGGCTATTTTGCAATTCATGTCGGCTGGCATGCCATCCGTAGCGACCCCTACGACTGTTCACTGCGATCATCTTATTGAAGCGCAAATTGGAGGGGACAAGGACCTGGCGAGGGCACAAGAGATCAACAAGGAAGTCTACGACTTCTTGTCTTCTTCGTGCGCAAAATATAATATTGGATTCTGGAGGCCTGGATCTGGTATCATTCATCAAATCGTTCTCGAGAATTATGCATTTCCAGGTGGCTTAATGATTGGCACTGACTCGCATACACCCAACGCTGGTGGACTTGGAATGGCTGCCATCGGTGTCGGTGGAGCTGATGCTGTCGATGTCATGGCAAATCTGCCCTGGGAGTTGAAAGCCCCGAAAGTGATCGGTGTAAAACTTACTGGTGAATTGTCTGGCTGGACTGCACCTAAAGGTGATTTTGCCCTTAGCAGGCGGAGGCAAGTCCTGTTTCTAACGTGCTATAGATATCATCTTAAAGGTTGCCGGTATCCTTACCGTCAAGGGTGGCACTGGCGCCATCATTGAGTACCATGGTCCTGGTGTTTCCTCCCTTTCCTGCACTGGTATGGGAACGATCTGCAACATGGGAGCCGAAATCGGTGCAACAACTTCGCTTTTCCCGTACAATGATCGTATGTACGACTATCTGAAGGCCACGAAGCGTCAAGCGATTGGAGACTTCGCGCGCGAGTACAACTCTGAGCTTCATGAAGACGAGGGTGCCGAGTATGACCAACTTATTGAGCTCAATTTGTCTGAGCTTGAGCCTCATATCAATGGTCCCTTCACGCCCGACCTTGCAACACCTATCTCGCAATTCAAGGACGCTGTGGAGGCCAACAAGTGGCCAGAGGAACTCAAAGTAGGACTGATTGGTTCTTGCACCAACTCATCGTATGAGGATATGTCTCGCGCTGCATCAATCGCCACCGATGCGATGAACCATGGTGTGAAGGCCAAGTCTGTCTTCACAGTCACACCAGGATCAGAGCAAATCCGGGCCACAATCGAACGAGACGGCCAACTCAAGACGCTTGAGGAATTTGGAGGTATCATTCTTGCAAATGCCTGCGGGCCCTGCATTGGACAATGGGATCGTCGAGATGTGAAGAAAGGAGAGGCCAATTCAATCATTTCCTCCTACAACCGAAACTTTACCGGCCGAAATGATGCCAATCCCGCTACACATGCCTTCGTTACCTCACCTGATCTCGTCGTTGCGATGACACTGGCTGGCACGTTGAAGTTCAATCCTCTGACAGATCCTTTGAAGGACAAAGATGGCAAGGAATTTATGCTCTCGGCGCCCACTGGCGATGGACTTCCTGCTCGTGGATATGATCCTGGCCGTGATACCTACCAAGCCCCACCGGCAGACCGCAACACGGTTGAAGTAAAAGTGTCCCCTTCCAGCGATAGATTGCAAATACTCGAACCTTTCCAGTCGTGGGATGGCAAGGATGCGCTGGATATCCCGATCCTGATCAAAGCGCAAGGCAAGACGACAACGGATCATATTTCAATGGCTGGCCCATGGCTCAAGTACCGTGGGCATCTGGATAACATCTCCAACAACATGTTGATCGGTGCCATTAACGCCGAAAATGGCGAAGCCAACAAAGTCAGGAACTTTCAGACCGGCGAGGTCGACGCCGTTCCTGCCACCGCCCGAGAATATAAGAAGCATGGTATCAAGTGGGTTGTCATTGGTGACTGGAATTATGGTGAGGGTAGCTCGCGAGAACATGCTGCTCTTGAGCCAAGGCATCTTGGTGGTCTGGCTATTATCACCCGAAGTTTCGCCCGCATTGTAAGCGCATGACTATCCCCCTGGTCAGCCTGAATTGTTTGCTAACACGCGACAGCACGAAACGAATTTGAAGAAGCAAGGCATGCTCCCGTTGACCTTCTCAGATCCCGCCGATTACGACAAGATTAACCCAGACGACAAAGTCGATATTATGTGCACTGAGCTAGCAGTTGGCAAGCCACTAACAATGAGAGTTCATCCTAAGGACGGTAAGGCCTGGGAATGCAAGCTCTCGCATACTTTCAACGAGGGTCAGATTGAGTGGTTCAAGAATGGAAGCGCGTTGAATACCATGGCTAAGAAGAATGCTTAGGCGATGACGACTTGGAATGCATGAGGAAGATGAGACCAAGAGTTGGGGATGTTGTAAGAGTTCATTGGGCTGTGAAGACGGGGAGAAGCTGAGAGTTCTGCGAGCCGTTGAACAGTGTATTCATCGATACGTATGCCTATATATGGATTGTTTCTCTTCTCTTTCCCTCAGCAAATCCGTAACAACTTGAAGTACATGCCATCCAAGCTGCTTGGCATCTAGAAACTTGTTAGTCACCATACTAGTTAGTAGTTAGTCGGTTGCAAAACAATGCAGGGGATGATGAAGCCGCTTAAAATTACATGGTTACCTATTAAAGCTCAAGTCGTCTCTTCCTTGCCTTTTTCTGGGTGACCACAGGGGCTGAAGACTCTTCTGAAGAAGATCTCATATGGACGCCTTCTGCATATCACATGGATAGTCTAGGGTAACCTCGAGAACAGCTCGAGATTGAAGAGGATGATGTTTCTGAGGACACCCTCTCCTGCAATACCAGCGTCATGCTTTACCTCCCATACCCTGTTTATGAGCTGCAAAAGCCCCGGTCGCCTAGTTACACATCTCTGCACCCGGAGGGACGCTCGATATTACCAATTCAGGAAACGAGTTAGCACCAAGTTGTGGATATGCCAGCGTGTGATTGACGAATTCGAGGTTCGTGTGGCACCATTAAAAAAGAGCCTACATGCATCCAAACCTCCTGCTCTCATCTCATCGAGAGCAGGCCGTCCAGCTTGCAGCCATGGCGGTGTGAGGGATTTCCACCGCCTTGATGAAGTGTTTTAAGGAAGCATGCGCAACCCGTAATCAAATCCTCAACTGCACAGGAAATCAAGGTATTACAACATGCCCTCCAAGCCATTGAGTGAGTCTGATTCTGCAGCTACACAGTCTTCTCAGGCAAAGGTGATCCTGCTACTATTCTCTTTTGGCGGCTCCCATGTTTTAACGCAACGTGAATAGGCTGCAGGCGGTGCTTCCGTACCTCGCTCCTGGCCGGTGCAACCTGGACTCAAACTAATCCCACAGTCACGGCTCGACACCAGATCTGACAAAGAAATTGTTTCTGCTCTTCTTCAACACCACCCTGTAACTAGCGAAAAGTATGTATGGGCGTACTGGCATTCTGGACTCCTTCAGGCGCCTCCTTGGGTACAACGAACCGTGATCAACTGGGCCCGCCGGCTGCCTTCATGGACGATCCGTGTCCTCGACAAGGTTCCTAATTCGTCACTGAATGTCTATAACTTCTTTAGTCCAGCTTTCCTGCCTGACGCGTTTAACAACAATGCCGTGACGGGACCTCATACCGGCCCACACAGCGCAGATCTTGTCCGTCTGCCGCTTGTTTATCTGCATGGCGGTTTTTGGATGGATGTTGGCACATTGCTCTTCCGAGATCTTGACGATATATGCTGGCATGCATTGGAGGACCCTCAAAACCCGTATGAACTGGCCGGCTTCACACTCAACATAATAGGCGATAGAAAGACCCTTTTCAACAGCTTCGTCGCCGCGAGGAAGGGAAATGAGTTCATCAAACGCTGGATGGACATCTATCTCAAGGTCTGGAAAGGCGTTACCGAGCAGACAAGTATGCATAGTCACCCACTTCTCAAGCACTTGCCTCTCCCAGGGTCAACAAAAAAGCTCGGGATTCGAGCCGGTAAACCAAGCGCAGAGAACCTGGACCCTCAACCCTCATCCCAGGAAGCTAACGCCAAGCGTCCCGAACTCAGCGCTACGCGCTCTGAGCCCGACGAGCAGGAGCTTCTCTTCTCCAAGACCCTTGCAGACTACGGTCTTCGGTTCTACTGCTTCACTCGGCTGAGTCACCTCGAAGATCCATCAGACGGCTTCAGTTGATGCAAGTATTTGAATTCACGAGGACTATTTTTTGACGCCATGCAAGAATGTTTGCTCGCACAGCAGCTTACAGGCCGGGATGGCAATAAGCAATTTGAATATCTGTCAGCAAGAAGATCAAACGCCAACAAGGGCAGCTTGCAAGATGATCTCTATCTAAACGCGGAGATGTTTGCGGAAGCCTTGGTCAAAGATTCGTGCCAGATGAAGGTTTCACATGGTATCAAGGGTAACGCGGTCTTTCTAGGTAACCTATGGGAGAAACCTGGGAATGAAGATGCAGATCATGCAGAGGGCACTTTTGCCGCGTATCTCAGGTATGCCAGCGTGTTTCTCGAACAAACGAGAGAGATGAAGAGAGAGCCGTGGGGTCAGGTTGAGAAAGATGCGTTGCATGCTGGCGTGACTGAAGTTGGGGAGACGTGAACAACACCTTTTTCTTCTTGTTTACTTGGTCATATAGATTATACCGTATAAGATCTACTCACTTCAGATGTTCAAGCACGAAAGGAAATCCAACACCAGAGCCAGACGTGGATTTTGCATCTGCTCAAGTGGAATCACACTCTTGTGTCAGCGAATAAATAGCACTATGCCTATTTTGGTGTACTCAGCGCCCTTTTTTGTCATCAAAGACTTTGCTATGGTAGTACTACTACGTATGTAGGATAAGCGTGCAGCAAGATCACAATACTTATTTTGATTATTTTTTCAAATGACAAAACCCTTTATTTAGCAAGGTATAACTCATGATGGGATGAATTTGAGGTCAAAGGCTCTAAATCTCATTTCTTTTATCTCTCTAATGACTCTAGGGTTCCACATAGTGCTTATGTACAAAGTGTTACAATGGAGCTCATTAAAGGAAGATATTTGCGACCGGTGTCTCAGAATCACGAACCGAGATCGAAGGTTCTAGTCCAGTAATTGTTGGAAAGAAACCGTTTGAGACGATTGTATCTACGACTTCCTACTTCTTTTCCCTTCGCATGGAGGACTCTTCTCTGCTGGCGTAATCTTTCGATCAAGCTTCCTCTGGGTTACCAAGGCTCCTCAGCGGATGGAGTCCATCTGCCTCGTACTAATCCTCAATTCGATTTGGGTAGTTTTTCCACCGCAAATTTCAAAATTCATTCACCGGATCCGCCCCTTCGGCCGCCAAGGTCGCATAGTATAATTGCGTCTGCGCAAGAATCACCATCCTTCCCTTGCCCGCAAACCTGAAGTTCGCGGCAACGCTTCCGAGGAATATCTTACCAAGCAGGGTGCCGGAAGGGTTCCAGACCTGCACGCCGTCGCCGACGGCAGAGTAGACATTGCCCTTAGTATCACAGTGGACACCGTCGGGGATACCGGGGGAGGTGTACGAGAATAATTTGCGATTTGACCAGGTGCCATCCACTTCGACTGTGTAGCGATAGCTAGAAAAGTGTCAGAAGTGTAGTATGCTCGAAAATAGAACATGGAGTTATACATAGAAGCAGGGGCGGAGAGATTATAGCCGTAGAAAGCCAATTGAGCACCTGTGTCGGTGACATAAGCGTAAGAACCATCCGGGGAGAATGTGATGCCTATTGAAGTATGTGTTAGTTGGTTAGTCATATGACAAAGGTCAGGCGCTGGAAGTACCATTTGGTAGCTCAAAACCGTCCGCCACCGCAGTCACTGCACCTGTACTGGGATTGAATCGATATACCTGAGTTGGCAAGCCAGGCGGAGGACGGAAGTCCTGAAGATACGCGTAGAGAGAGTCTGTAAAGTAAACATCGCCGTTACGTGGATTAACGGCTACGTCATTAGGAGAGTTGAATTGCCGGCCAAAGTAGTTGTTAACAAGTACTTAATAAGGTTTAGTAAGACATAAACGAAAACGCATTCCACCTACTCACCCGTGGTATTATAAGGCTCTTGTGGATTCATTACCCATAGACCAGGAGCGGTGCTGTTGCCTTGACCTTCACTGGTGAAGACGATTTCGCCTCTGTAGTTCGTTGCTCCTGCAATTGATTTAGTGCCGTACTTACTGATCGCAGTGCAGCCCTTAAGCCTCACCGTTTGAATTGACTATCGGTGGGTTAGCATTAACAGTTATCACATCCACAAGTCCGCTCGCGTTGCGCTCAGCTGAGAGTGCTGCAACTTGATTTAGGGAAATCTTCTGAATTATGTTCGATTTATTCAGGCCTGTTCCCGCGGCTTTAGCGCCGGCATTTTGCACGAAGAAGACTTCATTGGCTGGCGGATACCTGTAAGCCCCTTAGCCCCATATACATCAGGTAAAGACTGTGGAAGAAACTTACCAAACGGCAGCCTCATGAAAGATAGGATCGACGCCAGTACTGGCAACAACGGTGAGGGTGGGGTTAGGACCAATAACATCATAGAAGTCATCGTCGTAAATATGAAATGGTTTTGCAAGGGCTTGTTCTTCCGTAAAGCCTGGAGGGAGAAAAACCTAGAGAGGGCTTAGTAACAAATCCAAGTGGATGGCTATATCTGCTGACTTACATTGGTAACAGACGGAGGTTGTACAGTCTCTAAGGCATTGAAGCTGTTCCAATTGACCACCAGCGCCTGGTCAGGAACGGTTCGAGCGGAAGCTTCACTGAAAAGAAAGGCGAAAAGTAGCGGTAAAGCCATCATGGATGAGTTTGATGAGTCTTGGATGTTGTGACAATGCTGTGCAAGAGAAAGACTATCTGAGAGCTGAGTAGGAGGGATCGAAAGGTCGGCATCTCTCACATAGGGGGACGATGCGCTTTCGTGACAAAAATCTCATTTAGAGTTTCATCGGTTGCACAACAACATAATTTTGGTTCAGGTGAGGAAGCCGTCGCTAGCGATAGCTGTGTGACTCGAGGATGAGATATGCATTGCGCACTACATTGTTCGAGCCTTATCCCATAAGCCGGCGGAATAGGAAAGGGACACATCAACCACTCCGCCAAAAGGACAGCGCCGATGGGTTTTGAACCACACTTAATTGATGTAACCCTCACTGACTGGAATGGCCATCGCTTGATGAATTCCGCAAACTTTGAAGTTGATGTTCGTTCTGCCAAGAAATACGACACTAAATCGCGGGAATGCTATTCTCAACAAGGAAGGAGACGCATTCAGTGACATGGGTTTAGGTTGGCGGCATGAGTTAGGCCCGGAGCTGCCCGCGATTTTGGCTGGAATCTGTCACTCACTGAACGCCTTTCACATCGCCCCAGGGGTTGGATGTCTTACACTTCCTCTTGGACAAAATGAGGGTATCAATGTTCTTAACCTTTTCAACCTTCTGATGAGTTTGTGTTGGCCCTTCTTGAACCCATTGTCCTACACTGCCCGGAATGCTCTTCAAATGCCAAGATGCTTCATACAAGTTCTGCCATGTTTTGTCGGTTTGGAGAATCTCATCTCAGGTCACTGGCGCCAGCGGCGTTGAGCAGGATGCCACGTCTTAGCGCTTCGTGGTATGCGCAAAGGAGAGCTTTCAGATCCATCAGAAGATTGAGTCGACAGAATGAACGACCTCGGGTCGAGCATTCTCCGACCGTCGATCAGGCAAGTCTAACGAACGCTGAGGCTTCTGAGAGTATCAAAACCGAATCGTTCGAGAAGTCAAAACCAGCATCCGAGTTGACTGCTGATGAGAAGAAGGATATTCTCTTAGCAGAGCAGGCTCTCTCGAATAAGGAGCAAAGAAAAGTCGATCTGGCTATCTTGAAAGAGATGGCCAAGTATCTATGGCCCAAAGGAGAGCTGGGCACTAAACTTCGCGTCGGTACTGCTCTAAGCTTCTTAATTGGGGCCAAAATCTTGAATGTTCAAGTCCCATTCTATTTCAAGAGCATTGTCGACTCCATGAATGTTGATTTTATGGCCGTCGGAGGTACTGCATGGACCGTTGCAGGATCTATGATTGTCGCATACGGAGTCACCCGAATCGGTGCCGCTCTCTTTCAGGAGCTGAGAAACGCTGTCTTTGCTAGCGTTGCACAAAAAGCTATCCGAAATGTTGCATGCAGTGTTTTTCAGCATCTTTTAAGGCTAGACCTCAATTTCCATCTCACACGGCAGACTGGCGGATTGACCAGGGCTCTAGATCGAGGAACAAAAGGCATCAGCTTTATTCTCACCTCGATGCTGTTCCATATTTTCCCTACATTTCTGGAGATATCTATGGTGTGCGGCATATTAACCTACCAATACGGGCCACAATTTGCTGCTATCACCGCTGCGACGATGGTTGCTTACACGGCTTTCACCATTACTACGACTTCGTGGAGAACCAAGTTTCGAAAGCAAGCCAATGCCGCAGATAATCAAGGCGCAACCGTGGCAGTTGACACCTTGATCAACTACGAGGCCGTGAAGTACTTTAACAATGAGAAGTTTGAAGTTGCGAGATACGACAAAGCTCTTAAGGCATACGAGGCTGCGTCGATCAAGGTCACAACTTCTTTATCATTCCTCAACACTGGACAAGGTGTGATCTTCTCAAGTGCCTTAGCATCCATGATGTATCTGGCTGCCAACGGCGTCGCGTCTGGCCATCTGACTGTCGGAGATCTGGTGATGGTAAATCAACTTGTCTTTCAGCTTTCGGTACCGCTCAACTTCCTTGGCTCCGTTTATCGTGAATTAAGGCAGTCTCTTCTTGACATGGAAACATTGTTCAATCTGCAGAAAGTCAACGTGACAATAAAGGATCCACCAAAGCCTAAACCATTGGCATTGACTCGAGGTGGAGAGATCCAATTTCAAGACGTGACTTTTGGCTACCACCCCGAGCGGCCGATCCTGAAGAAGTTGACTCTGACCATACCTCCGGGTAAGAAGGTAGCAATCGTTGGTCCTAGTGGATGTGGGAAATCGACTATACTGAGACTACTTTTTCGATTCTACGATGTCCAGTCAGGCAAGGTGCTCATTGATGGTCAAGACATTAGGGAGGTGACTCTTGATAGCTTGCGTCAGGCGATCGGCGTGGTCCCTCAAGATACCCCGCTGTTCAACAACACGATTGAACATAATATCAGGTATGGCAGAATCGATGCAACCCGGGATGAGGTTAGGAAGGCAGCGCAGAGAGCAAAGATCCACGACCTGGTTGAGCGACTACCGGCCGGCTACAATACCATGGTAGGCGAACGCGGTATGATGATTTCGGGTGGTGAGAAGCAGCGACTTGCAGTATCTCGACTCATACTGAAAGACCCACCTTTATTGTTCTTCGACGAGGCAACCTCTGCACTGGACACTTATACCGAGCAGATGCTGTTACAGAATATCAACAGCATACTGAAGGAGAAAGCTCGGACTAGCGTCTTCGTTGCTCACAGATTGCGAACTATATTTGACAGCGACATCATCTTCGTTTTGAAAAATGGTCAGGTCGCAGAAAGTGGCACTCATCATGAACTTTTGAACAGGGGAGGTATGTATACTGATCTTTGGGCAGCGCAAGAGACTTCGCTCGGCCAAGACATGGAATTGGAGCGCAATTTGGTCAGCAAGGGAGAGAAGCCGGAGGAGCCATAACCAAGCAAAAGTTGTCCTCCCAGTACGACAACACAAACTGAGTGGAAACTTGAGAGACGATTCAAGCAAGTCAACGACGTGGCTAATTCTCATTCCGTCTGCCATCCAAGACATATACTAGAAGTGACCAATACTGCAAGCCTGATGGCTCACCAAGTGGCAGCGCTATCGAATCTGCTTTGAGCCCAAAGCTGAACCTCAGAAAGTGCCACAGTCTCTAAGGGCGAGGAGAGGGGGATCACTCACACGATTTTCTCTCTCAAGGCCTTGGGCTCCGGCGCTTTTGCCCCTGCTTGTCACAGCCTTGAATCCGCAGAACCACGGATCGGACGATTGACTTCAATACCACGTCCAGCAGACCGCAAGCCATTGAGATGAAGAAGTGAGAATAGAATACAGTGGAAGATCGATCTATATCGATCTGTCAAACGCGAATTCTACGCGTAAACCCTGCGTTTTGCGTGCTTTTGAATGGTCAATTTCTACTGCAATTTCGCAGCCCATTTCGATGTACCACACAGCAATTTGTACTTATATATGCACTCGCTGCGCCCCTTATTTAGATTCTACAACTGGCTATCTCCATTTTCATTCCACATAGCCACGTTCAACACGATCTCTCCGGTAAATGTCGCCGTCACATTTCCCGTCCCATGGTCCTGCGCAATGCTATAACGCTTCATGGAGAGAGTCACGTCCCTTGAGTTGAATGAAATATCGAGTGCACGATGGATCTGACATCGCAGCTGAGAGAAGGATTAACGAGACTTTGACGGGCGCCAGAGTGCGTGTCGACTCTATCCATTGATGATCTCCTAGGGGTGAGATGGGATGGGGCAACCACGACCCTTCCCGCCGCTCTGAAGGCCATACATAACACCCCGCAGAGGGAGAGCCTCCTCGGATCATGCCAGCAGAGCCATCAGCCTACTCTTAGGCTTGGAGGTGGCTGCAGGATTACATGACTGCCAGGCATAGAAATACGCAGCCAAGACGCCTGGGCCCAATCATATTCTCTGCTATTAAGTAGCAGGGCTACGTCCTCTGCCAGATTTATTCTCGTTCAACAAGAGAAATATAGTAAAAAAAGCTGTACTATCTCATAAATTTGACAGAATACTTGCCACAATAGTAACAACATTTAATCATAGAACTCCAGTTGCCCCCTTCTCTTGCCGAGTGGCTGGGGATCCCGCAGCGGTCGCAGGCCGAGTTTGCAGTGCATGAGAGGCTGGTCGGGCACCCAAGACCAATCGCTAATGAACAGTTTTCTCTACATGCCTAGTAGTATGCTGCCTCTCTTTGTACTACCGGTTACTTCTTGGCTTTCAACCTCTCTGGGGCTAGTTAACCCCAGCCTGATCTGTAGATAAGAGCTGAGATTCGCCCAGTTCGTGGAGCCTCCCTCTATCCAGTACCACCAATTTCCCTCTTTTTCTTACAAGTAGCACGCAACAGATTCGCAAAGCATCTATCATGGACGCCGCTCAAGCCAAGATACAGACCGGTGAGGCCATCATTGGCTACACCTTCAATGACAAGCATCTGCTGTGGCAGGCAATCCAAACCTCGGGTGTTGGTGCTGTTCCAAAGAACACACGTCTTGCCGTCTTTGGTGAGACGGCCCTCACCAAAATGCTATGCAGTCGCTGGTTCGAATTGAACCTTAGCAAAGGTGAGTCTGTCAGCACTGTGCTCGCCAGTCTAATATTTTGACACAGGCGATTGGACGACGATTAGAAACGTGGCCCAGAATTCCCATCTAACACGGGTTGGATTTGAACATGGCCTGAATGCCTGCGTACTGCTCAATGGCGGAACCGGCGCCGTGTCGGGTAAAACAATGGCCAGCACTGTGGAGGCTATCCTGGGGGCAGTCGAACTCGATGGAGGCTCTGAGGCTCTGATGGAAGTGGCAACGCGCCTAGACCTTGTCCATCCAATGCTTATCTCGGTAACGTCAAGCTTATCCTTCCCTCCATTGAACGAAACTATACATACAAATAACTGGGTGACTTCTAGAGCCCTACCATTAGCGATTCTTCCCTCCTCCACGCATGGCTCATTCAGCACCATTTGCTATCGTGTCTTCGCTCGACGTCTCCGTAAGGTACGGGTATTGGAATGAGCCATATGGCTAGTCCGGACAGCCATTTCCGGCCTGGCAAGGCTGTCGGGCGTGCCATGCGTGGAGGACTTTGGTATATCTAATGGCAGCTCGGCTCTCGGCTCTTAAGCCATGCATGCCCCAATTCGGGACGCACTCGCTTTCTTCTCACGAGTGCACGCTCTGACTTCCGGTCCAGGGATAAGTTCAGTCGGCTGGTTGGGCTTTGGCAGCGCGTCTAGACCTATTCACCATGAATGGAAGCAGATGTGGCCAAAGAAACGAGACGATTCGACCAAGAACACACGGAGGTTGCTGCTGCCAGCCCAATGGAAGTCATTTCCGGCTTATCAAGTTTGATGGTTTCTTCTACACTCCTTGTTGGCCAAAACTCTTTCACGGCCTTCTACCGAGCGCCCCACACCAACAGTCTTTACCTAGATAGAAAATACACTCTTAGTGTACCCAGTTTGCTACTTTTGACTCGATAACATGTGACCATCTTCCAAACTCGCCTTCTCCACCTTAGATTTGTGACTTTGGATTGCCAAAGGATCATATCGAGCAGTCAATGCCACATAACCAAACAACAATGAAGCTGTGACTCGAGCCGGTAAGTGTAGTAGCATCAATGGCAGACGTCAATCAGGCTTGAAACTTGGGGCCTTTGGGGACTTGGAGTGGAACTTCTGCACCAAAGTTTCCGTGGTAAGTAAGTATGGATGGACGCGGTCCAGAACTACGTCACATAATAAACATAACTTCCATCACCACAATAGCCCGTAGGCAACCACAATCACCTCTTCACTCATCCTCTGTGCCGTTCGCGTCTACCACACACTGTCGCCCAACCACCATGGAAGCCACCTCCAGCCAATCCCGCGCCCGCTCCGTCTCCCACTCCCGCCCCACAACACCCCTCCGCCCACCCTCTCGCTCCTCTACCACGCAAAACCCTGCGCACCCTCACAATTCGTCCACCAGCTCCTCATCCACCGCTCTCGACACACTCGAACCCCAATTCGCCGAGCTGGCCGACAGCATGGCCGACCTCGAGGCCAACTTCATGCACCTCCAACTCATGCACGAGAGTCTCGCGCGGTTCGGCGAGAGCTTTGCCGCGTTCCTCTACGGATTGAATGTCCGGGCTTTCTGTGTGGACTTCCCGGAGACGCCGGTGCAGGAGAGCTTTGAGAGGTGGAAGGCCGGGAAGATGGATAATTCGGGCGAGAGGGAGGGGGAGATGACATTTATGTATGTTGACCGCCTGCTCTCCGTGCTCTGTACAGTGATGTAGATGGGATCTTGCTGATAATGCGTGGGGTATAGGACTACGGATACCTCGTTTGTGGAGCAGGGGTCTACGAGTATTGTTTCGAAGGCTACAACGACGACGCAGACACCGAAGCGTGAACCACCACCGCCAGTTACGCCGAGGCTGACGAACACGAATAATACACGGGGAACAGGACCAGGGACGAAAGGGTTGGGAGGAGGTGGTGTTGGTGGGAGGGGTTATACGAGGGGTGTCAGGGGAAGTGGGCTGGCTAGGCCTAGGGGTAGGGGGGTAAGATGAGGACTTTTTCTACGCCAGAGGAATCGAAACCGAAAGCCCCGATGGACGGTAGGAGAAAACGATCACAGGGATAAAATGTCCGGAAAGCTGCGAATATCACAGAAGCTGCTCCCCATAGATCTTCGCAGCCGGAAGTTGTGGCACGCGAAGAAGTAAGGGAGATGTTCTCTGGCATCAGCTGCAGTTCGTGCTCTATGGATGCCCTCAGAATGCTGTAAAGACGGCAGAACACATGGGGAAGTGCATGTCAGTGTCAGGACAGAGAAGCTGTGGTTATTTCTTAGGGAAGAACGAAATGAGTAGACGGGCTCAAGGAAACAGGCCCTTAAATGACATTGGCGAGGTTTGTGACGCTCCAGTCTAGGCTAGGGAGAATGTATCGGCCAACCATAGGAGAGATCCTCGGTTCCAGGACGAGCAAATATTTATTGATCAAGTATACGCCCTTCCTTCGGGCTTTTTGGGGTCTCAAAGGCTCCATCTTGAGAGACAATACATGCGCATGACCTAATTCAATTGGTCAGTGTGGATAGCTCTGAACGGATAGAGCTTCACAGCGATACTGAGAATCTATCTGAGATTACAATGCTGCAGGTATTGCTTTCTTCGAGCCCAGAGGCAAAAGCCCCATTTGCATCACCTTAGCCAGCCATGGCTGGGTGGCATAAATAGTTACGGGCGGTTGATGCGGCTCGGCGGCAAGATCTCGTGATTTTAAGCTTATTCCGGGCGCTATTTTAGGTGCAGGGACCCTTTCTCCAGCCCTTCAACTTTCGGAACAATTTCTTATTCAGCCTAACTACTCCGTATTGTTGGCACATTCATTCCAGGGCACCCTTATTTAGCCAGCAGACTTTTAGACTTCTGGTCTGGGAAGTCATAGGGCTTTTTAGTAAACATTTCCAGACTTTCAGCCTCTTTCTATTCGCACCAGTTTAATTCCGTCCTTTAGCCTGAGGCGTTGAAGCATCTGCATGGTTTGATAAGCTGTTTCAAGAGACTCCTGCCTCCTCAGTCACGTCGTCTGTTGAGTCTACTGCTAGCACTTCGAGTCTGGCATATATGTCTAATATAAGTACACAAGCTTCATCCGCGGAGAGCCCGCCATCGACCACGGCTACATCAGTATCAACAACATTGGACGCCACGCCTGGATGCAGTCACCTTGCAAGTCACGTTCAATCAGGAAAAGATGCAAAGAAAGAGTTCGCCAACGGCCTCGCCAAGGCTCGGAGAAGAGCTCAAAAGGTCGATGATTCTCAAAGCCGGGCTCTGCGGTATCACTGTGTACAATGCACCGAAGCTGGCGGTGTAAAACAAATTGAGATACACCATGCCAAGACGCAGCATGCTTTTTCGTTCTCTTCTGAATCCTCGGCAGTCTATTGCGCTCTATGCAGAGATATGACCTATGATAAAATGGCGAAAAGACCCAGCCTCGCTGCTTCATCGTCTTCTTCTGACACCCCCAAAAAGCGCAAGACCAGCGAGGCTAATGGGGATGATTCATACATCACTGCGAATTCAGCGCAACGCCCTTGTGGGAGAGAAGGCGCTCGTGGATTGTTCAATCTCGGCCACACATGTTACATGAACGCGGTTATTCAGACCATGGTTCATAACTCTCTGCTTTCCAGTTTCTTCCTTGGCAAAGGACACCCAATCCACACATGCTCGAAGAATGAAGACGATGAAGAAGACGTACCTTGCGTCGCCTGTGGTTTCACGGAAATATTCTCGGAATCACGAGTTGCTGAGAATACTCAACCGATGGCCGCACTATCACTGCTCAAAGCCTCCTGGCTAGCCATACCAGTGAGGCAATTTCTTTCCGTTTGTTAACAGCACTAATGTAAAACAGGAAATGCAAGGCGAACGTCAACAAGACTCCCACGAATGGTACTTGCAAATTATTGATAAGCTCCACGAATGTGAAAAGCCCGCCTACGACAGTAAAGGAGTCTGCCGCTGCTTCATCCACAAAGCCTTCTACGGCCGCACGAGTCAGGAAATCGCCTGCAACAAATGTGGCTTCGTCTCCCGCACCCAAGAGCAAATGCTGTACCTAGCTCTAAACTTCCAAAAACAACTAGCCGCTACCACTTCCAGCAACACCAGCGGCAACAGGAAGAAATCCGAACCAACCCCCTCGACCTCCAGCTCCACCTCCGACCCAGCACCCGCACCACCACCCATCCCAACCATGGCCGCCTGTCTCGAAGACCTGACCACCCTTGAAAACCTCAGCGACGACACCTACTCATGCCGCGGGTGCGACAAGAAGGGCCAAATGACCAAGACGGTCCGGATCCGAAAACTTCCCGCCATACTGTGCATGCAGGTAAATCGGTTTCAGAACGAAATTCGTGGTGGAAATGTGGTACAGAAGAAGATCAAGGGGAGAGTGCAGTACCCGCTTGAGATTGATATGAAACCTTATACGACGAGAGGTGGGGGGCGGAGAGGGAAGGGAAAGAGTAATGGGAAGAATGGAAAGGAAGAGGGTAGTAGAAAGGGGGAGGTTGAAGGCGGAGGAGGAGGAGGAGGAGATGATGGGGGTTTTCTTTATGAGTTGGAGAGTGTGATTGTGCATGAGGGCAAGGCGATCGAACAGGGCCACTATTTTGCTTTTTGTCGGGCGGCTCCTCCCGCAGAGAACAAGAGTCCTAGTACCGAGACGGGGAGGAGGGAGTGGTACATGTTCAATGACGCCAAGGTCACGGTTGCAGCGGAGAACTTGGTCTTGGAACAGGAGGCTTATTTATTATTCTATTCGTTGAAGAGGATTTGTGGCGCGGGCGGTGAGAAGAGATAGGAGATGAGTTACGTTTGGCGCCATGGCGGTACATTAGCTAGATTCGGCAGGTGGCTCAATCGAAGACTTAACATAACAAAGAGTATGTACTAATAGTAGTGGCACCAGTGGTAGGATGATTAATCAAGCACCGAGATGAAGCCTTCCAGACTCGTGTCACAAGTAGACATACTGGTGCAGAGACAAAGCATCTTCCTACTAGTAGCAGGCCGAGGCTGAGCGTCTCTTCGTTTGCTAGCGTCCCAGATGAACCTCAATAGCTCCTGGACTTCATGTTTCGAGGTAAAGTATCATTGGACATCTACCCCGGAGGAACTACTCCCTAGGGCCGGAGAGCCCTGTGTGGGGTGGGTTCAAGCTGAAGTCTAGGCATAATCCTTAGGGCTTCTATCACTGTTGAACGTTGAACTTGATTACGAGTGACTGATCAGGGCAAGTTTCACCTCTTGCGGCCAAACTACGATCGCTCTTGCTAACTACCAAGTGTGGCACATGCCTAAAACCGGGAATAACGGTCGATATCACATCGCATCGGACATGGCGGCTTGCCATCGAGTATTGTCCATCGTGGGAGCATTGAGGGACATTACTCAGCAACGGTTTATGTTGGACAAAAGGACCGTCAACTAGCTTATGGCTGACCAATTTAGCTTCAGAGACTCGAACAAACGAGTTCCGGAGCCTGAGCTGCGGAAGATCTTGTGATGCTGACAAATCGAGAGGCCTTGAAACTCCTGCCCGTACTCTAGGCCGTAAAGCATGGCTTGTTCACATGCAAGATATCTAGAGCATAAACTAATTCACCGCCCAGCTAATGCGATGCATAAATACGATCTACGATCGAGGCAGCAATGTCTAGACAATACAGATTCGGAGTTGGGGTGTGATGAAGCCCGAGGGATGACTCAATTGGTGCACAGACCCCTCCAACCCACTGTCGAGAGTCTAAATCTAAATCTTTCTGCCGACCTCATCCATCCCACTAACTGAAATGCACCAACAACATCGAGCATTTCTAAGCTCGTGTCTGCCTGTGCCACTGACTCACGAGATTTCCTCCGGGATCTTTCTGTCAAACCCAACCGGGGCGGAACAGCCTGGGTGCACGTGCTGTCAAGCTGCGGGTAGACGACGATCAGGGTGCGCCTTCCCGGATGCGCCCTAAGGGATTGCCATCTGCTGCTCTCCATTCCATGCTTCCCCTGCACAATCCCAAACAGAGGGAGAAAAAAGAGATGGTTGCTGCAGAGGCCAGGCGATGTATTTGCCATGTCTTGTGCCAGATACTGGCATCATGGTAACTGGCGATAGATGGAAAATTCGACCTCCGTCCAGAAGGCCATGTTGAACGGGTTTGTAATGCTACATCCGAGCAATCCGCTGCAACACCACTAATCCCATACGCTGCCAACCCAAATCGGATTTTTCATCTGACTTTCCGCCCCTCCCTGCCTTTTACGTTCTCGATGTGCTACCAGTATCTAGGCTACCACACCCCGAAGAGGTCCGCCGACAAGGGGCGAGCACGAGGAAGCCGAAGCTGGTCCGATAACGCCGATGCAATTTTATGAAAGCTCGTTCATAAGCTTAGGTTCTCAAGTCCTGATTCTCCTTCGCCTGATAGTTTCAGACTTTTCTTGTTGTTTGCTGTGCGGTAATTCTCTTTTCACCAACACTAATCTCCGTCTGTGTTTCATTACCTCTTTCCTAGGCTGCGTGGCCATAGCTGCTCCTCGTGCGATCGAGGTTCGAGTTAGTACAATACATCCAGTTCTCGACGGTACCATATGGTAGCAACCAAGCACTTATTAGCAGCCTCGCTGCTTGAACTCATCACACTTGTTGCCGCACACGGCCATGGCTCGCAGGACGAGACGGGGCTCAATCCGCGACCGATGTCGAACGGAACAGTCTCACCACCAACAGACCTAGACAACGTGTGGCAGTCGCCAAGCTATTCGGGCTTGGAAGCTCAGTCTGGCTCTATGCTGGCGCACATTATCTTCATGGTCGCGGCCTGGTTCTTCCTGCTGCCAATAGGTAGGTTGACCCGTCAGGCTGATATCTCAAGGTTCTAACCACCCCAGGCGTTGTGCTAAGCATCGCTCGATCACGATTTGCGGTATCAACGCAACTCATTTTCCTTGCTCTTAACGGCTGCGGTATCTTCTTCGGCATCGTTTACAACGTTAATACTCCGGACCTCTATGCGAACAATGCCCACCACAAGATTGGATGGATCGCAACATGGGTTATGACGGCGCAGGGAGCCATGAGCCTGCTCTTTGCCTTTTCGCGATGGTGCAAGAAAGAAGATGCTGCCGTGTCTGCAGAAAGGGTCGCATTCTTGCCAATATCGATGGAGGCTATGGCGCAGCATCAGCGATTTCACGATCCACATCCGAGTGCATACGAGAACACCAGGTGGTCGAGGGACAGTGGCCAGGGCACGGAATGTGCCACACCTTCGCAGCACAGCCGTGACCTGTCACCAAATCATACATCCGAGAGCGGGCAGGAAAGGGAGAGATTTTTAAAGCCTGAGGCTGGAGACGAAGAAGATGTCCAACAAGTGCTGCCATGGCGTCGACACTTTCTCGCCGGCACTTTTGTGCACAAATTTTGGAAGCAACGAGTACCCGGCCCGTTTTCACAGCGAGCATTGAAGCTATTAGAAGCTGTTTACGATAGCATAGATCATATAATCCTGCTCCTTGGGTTCATCGCCCTAGTCACTGGAGGCATTACCTATGCTGGCATATTCGTGGGTGAAGTTCATTTAGACCATTTTTGCATCTAGCTGACACGTTGCAGCGCGCAAACAACGTCTTCAACGGCCTTGCGCATTTCATCAAAGGTGGCATTTTCTTCTGGTACGGTCTTTTGACCCTTGGACGTTGGATGGGTTGTTATGCCGAGCTTGGCTGGGCGTGGAATATTAAACCCAGCAAATCCGAGATCGGCTCCTGGAAAGCTTCCCTACCGACAGCCGAGTTTACCGAATCCTTTGTCATCTGGCTCTACGGGTGTACGAATGTTTTCCTAGAACATTTGGCCGCATGGGGAGGTGCCTGGACGGCACAAGATCTAGAACATGTCTCCATTAGTATCATGTTCTTCGGTGGTGGACTGGTCAGTCTTGAAAGCTCCATCTCTTGCATGCTTCTAATACTTCCTGCAGTGCGGTATGCTCATCGAATCGCGACGCATCCGAGACTGGCTCAGTACATCCATACTGTTGCTTCACGCCCGCAACGACATGCATCCTGAAGACATGCATCCAGAAGAATCGTCGCTCATCCATACCCCTCCTAAAATGTACTCATTCTCTCTGAATCCCCTTCCAGCTCTCATCATTCTTCTCCTCGGCGTAATGATGTCCTCCCATCACCAAAACTCCATAGTCTCTACCTCTGTCCACAAACAGTGGGGAACACTGCTCGTCGGTTTTGCGCTAGCTCGCGCAGTTACCTATATTTTATTCTTTCTCTCACCTCCGACATCAGTCTTCCCATCGCGACCACCTAGCGAGCTCGTGGCGGCGTTCTGTCTGATCTCCGGTGGCCTGATATTCATGGCCAGCACTAAGGATGTGATTCACATTATGGAAGATCACAATCTGATGCCCATGTTTATTTTCACGGTTTGCATGGGCTTCACCGCCTTTCTTATGGCATATGAGATGATCGTGTTGGCTACCAAGGGATGGGCTACGAGGAGAGAAAACGCTGTTCTGAGGAGCTTTCCTGCTACGATTCGCTATGGCCGGTAATCTCCTAAGAGATTGCACATGGAGGAGACTATGAATTGGTTGTTCCTTGCTTGCCACATTGATGAAAGTATGCCCTGGGGCTGACCTATACGTTCTTCCTGTATATACCGAGAAATGCTAGCGCATGACCTCCACAATGGTACCTTCTTAGCGAAGTATACATCCTACTTGTGCGTTTCAGCGCGATGCTTCTTGAGGTCATCATCGTAACAAGCTCCGCAGTGTAGCTATCAAGTATTAACCACCATAATGAGTTGCATCTCTCAGCCCTGTTGGACTATCCAACCTATTTCCGTGGTTTTCATGCAGCTCCGCTCTCTTCCTCCTGCACCAGTCGGTCCAGTCCTGAAGATATACTGGGCTCCATATTTGGAGGAGAACCCAAAACACTCAAAAAAAATTAAAAAAAAGATCGATTGAAGTTTGTAAGCGTCACCGACAGGATTTGAACCTATGCCTCCTAAGAGATGTGATATCGATATAGTTCAAGTCACACGCCTTAACCACTCGGCCACAGTGACAATAATGGTATGTTTTGTATATAGTCAATCTATACAGAATCAGTACTCGAGTGAGCAGAAAAATATTACCACCTAATTAATGGAAGAGGAGATCAAAGTGGCTTTCCCAACATGAAGCCCGTCAAATAAATAATTCATCACGCCATATCTCCTCATAAGATTATTCAATCTCCAGAGGAAGGCGCCGCCCAGACGCTTCAGAACGGGACGGGATCTTGTGTAAGTGTGTGAAGCCCCTCGGTACGGCTGCCTGTCCGGGTCCGTTTGACTCCCAACTTCAACACCCCCCCAAATCTGCGTGGAGTGATGTGATATCGTCTGACAATATCTGAATCCATTTTACCACTGGAAGAGCATTTGCGGTACTAGCTGGATGTTTCGGTTGGAGAAGTAAGAGGGTGTTTTATGGTTCCGGTGCTGAAGGTACCAATATGATCGGAGCTGACAGGGCATGTGGCTGAGAACACGGTCCTCGGTGCGAGATAGCAGGATTTCTGTCTCGACCTTACCTTACTACTTACTGCATATATCACTGGCTTCTCTACTGTACGTTGGGTTTACCTTGTTTGGTTGTTTGATGGTGCATGGGCAAAAGCCTATCCTGTCGTCCGCTCCATCTTCGCGTTTTGATATTGCAGCGCAAAGGTGCATCGTCGGTTCGAAGAGTGAATATGGCGACTCAGTTGCCCCATCTTCCGGAGATTGAAAGAGTCTCCACTTCTGTAATGAGGGTTCTCGGTGGGAATCCCGGGGTGTCTACTTTGCAAGGTGTGTGCTGTTTATTCTATATGGGGATGGTGACTACCTATCTACCTTAATCTCTTTCCTCCGAACTTTTACACCTTGATTGTAATGAGGAGAACAAACGTCTCCGCAGCTGGAAAGGTTATGGCGGCATCATACCCCTGTGCGACTAACACAAACCCTCCGTCTAATCATACTGGTACGTGGCAGGGACAAACACCTACATCATCTCTCCACCCAACCTCCAACGAGATCCGCAATTCCTTCTCATCGATACAGGCCAGGGTTCCGCTTGCCCCATCTGGCGCCGCTCTATCGCACAGGTTCTGGCATCAGAATCCGCTCGCATAGGAAAACAGGTACACATAACGCAGTGTGTATTGACCCATTGGCACTATGATCATGTTGGTGGTGTCAACGAGCTGCGACAGCTATGTGCTGAAGAACACGCATCCGCTGGAAATGCTGAAAGCGGAAAGGAAAAGAAAAGAGGGGAAGAATTGAGGATCTATAAATACCCTCTCTCCTCTGCTCCTCCCTCAGAGATATATTCAAGCAAAGACCCCTGTCTGGATATCGAAACCCAACTTCTTCGCTCTGCAAATGACGATCAGGACATCGGTCTCATATATCCCCTCCACGACGGACAGATCCTCGAAGTCGGCGATTCAACCGCCACAGACGATGAAATGTTGAAGCTACAAGTCCTCTATACACCAGGGCACACGGCCGACCATATCGCTCTCCTAATTGTCTCATCACCCACCGATCCAGCTGAGGTAGGCACGATCTTCACTGGGGACGCGGTGTTGGGACATGGGACGACTGTTTTTGAGGATTTGGCCCTGTATATGCGGAATCTGGAGAAGATGAAGAACGCTGTTGAGAAGATACTAGTGGAGGAAGGGGGTAGCAGGTGTGAAGGGGGTGATGGGCAGGTCGAACAGGAGAAGAGGAAGGTACTAGCGTTTCCGGGACACGGGGCTGTGATACCCGATGCGAGGGCAAAGATCGAGGAGTATATACGCCATCGGGCGATGAGGGAGAAGGAGGTTTCGGATGTCTTGGCTGGTCAGGATGGAAAAGTTGGAAGTGAGCGTAAGGCATGGACGCCCATGGAGGTCGTGAAGGTGATCTACAAAAACGTGCCGGAGTCTTTACACGAGGCGGCCAGTAGGGGTATGCTGCAAATCTTGCAGAAACTGGAAGGGGAGGGAAAGGTTGAGAAAGTGGATGAGGGAGTCAGATGGAGGATCATCCAGAAATACCACCAGCAAGAACAAACAACCAACGACAACAGTGCCCCAGAACCGAGGTCTGCGCTATGAACGGTCAGCCATAAGTTGACAGCCCCTGTCCAGATCTGCATAATCACGGGCTCGACCACTCGTTTAGCAAGTTGTGAAATCGATACATCCTAGGCTCTCCTCTGGTGTCTTTCCTGGATCGGATGCTCCTCTCTCCAAAGAAGCCTGTCGTGTCACCCGGTCAAAAATCTGTTCCCACAGTGCTCCAGCACTCGAGCAATCCAGTCTGCCAGAGCTTGGTAATGACCCTCCAGTGACTTATCGTTGTATTCGAAGACTTCGACGGGCAACATGTGGCGCATTCGCACGCGGCATAGGCTGGCTTAAAGACGTGATGATTTGAGCAAACCTCCCCAGTGTACGATCATGGACTCCAGTAAGGATGGCAACCTACTCGATAGCACTCCATTTGCTGCAAGACAGTTCTCCCGTACCGAGCACCGTAATACACCATGTCTCTTTGAGATACAGGGAACCGGTACGAAAGGAAGCTAGTTACCAGGTAATCAATCAATCAATTTGTGGTGCTTGGACAATGGACAAGGGGTTCAACACCATTTGCCGCAGATCTTGGTATGATGATTGGTGAATTGAAAGTCATTTTGAAGGGCGTGAGTGAATATTTTGGACCTTTAACCACATCCTCACGGGTATTGTAGATGTTGTGTCAATAAGTACTATCTTCATCACCAGTGCCGAAAGAAGTACTGCTACCAAACCAGTTAGCCTTGCCGAAATTATATCTAGAACACGACTCACAGCTCATCCCTATCCTGCAGAACGGATATGTGGGAGAAAGAAATGGCTCAGCGCACAAAAATCCCAGCCTTTTCTGGAATCCCCAATGAAACGCCAATAAGACCGCCTTAGAGCATACAAAGTTTGGAAACCGTGTTATAGCCGTGGCACCGTATTTTAGGAGCACTCGACGACTACAACCTCTCTGCTTCCATCGCGTTCTCGGCGTCCTCTACTTCTACCTCAGCCAGCGGGATCGTATCGTGCTCCGGATCGACAAAATAACACACACAAAACGAGCAGAACACAAACACTATCCCGGAAACCGCCACAACGATCAAGTAGACTACTGCAACCTACCAAAAAAAAACTGTTAATTGACGTATTCTGAGCGGGAGGACCCTTATGCCATCTAGCAACGCTGGCAAAAATGTAAAAAACTCACATTAGCATCGGCGCTCCACTCACCACCGCGGATCAACGACATACACACCAAACTTGTCAATCCGGCCAGAAACAAGCACACCGAATACGACATGAACATGATGGGGCATTTACCAGATGACGACAATTTTCCATCTAGGGTCTCTAACCACCCAGAGGATTTCTGCCCACGTGCGCTCCTCTTTCGCACTCCGGCTGCCGCCCGGTCTCCGACAGCATCAGGGCGAGATACTGGCAGACGTGTACAGTTGGCTAGGGCATCGTGCTCTTGGCGGGTAGGCTCCGCCCGTCAGGTTGAGGACCGCCAGTGTCAGGGGGCGGAGGCGAGCTAGTAATCGCTGGAGACTGTGTTCCAGGAGAGCTTCTGGGTTGATGACGGCAGCGGCTAGAATGGCGCACTAGGAATGGAAATGGCTCAAGAGGGATAGCGTGTGACCTACAACGATAGAGATGAATTGAAACTCGGCGAGCTTTCGCGTCCGCCAGCGAACAATAACCCTGCCCGCCAGCCATATGAACAAGTTAGCAATAACATAAGTGGTCACAGTGCAATAGTCTGTCTGCGGCGGTGGGGACCACGCCGGTTTCGAGATCTAGATACGTTTGAAGTGGTTAGTATGGACGAGCGGAGGACCGTTGATGCGTCTTCAGTCAGTCATTTTTGTTGTTAGATTGGTTAGCAGATGGCCTGTGTATGATAGGGATCTGCTGAACCAAAAGGGTTGCAGCTCTAATGGCTGCACTAACATATATTTTGTTTGACAGGATCATTTTCCATAGCTGGATCTCAAATGGAGTCGTTAAATTGTTTGCTGTGATGCGTCTCTTGGCAGCTACAGCCACAACCACTGAACACTCTTTGACACTGTAAGATGCAGATAAATTTCGGCTAGAAAGAAACATGTCGGCCAACATTGGAGAAAGCACAACGCAATCTCCATTTCCGCCTATAGATCGTGCTCGAGTTTTTGAAATCGTTCAAAACGAGCTTTCCCAGCCGCAGCCGACGGAAACCTCCCCTGAGGTTAAGTGGGATACGATTCATGCAGAGCGAGTTGGACGTCGCATCATTTATTACACTGACCAAGGCCGAGCGGATATCATTGGCGAAAGGTGTGAGGCATTGCGACAAGCGGCTCAAAACGAACGCTGTCATGTTGCCGAACTCAATACTGTCTTTAGCAGATATGTGGAGACGCATGTGGAAAGTCCCAAACCTCGTGTGCAATCAGTCACAGATGGCGTGTGTGCCATCTTATCGCGGCTACCGCAGACTCCCTCTGTCTTACAGGACCCCCCATTGTCTGTGCCACAAGTTTACTTCGACGAACTGAGAACGTGGGAGGATCTTCGAGTCGTCAAATGTGTGCCTCATAATTTCATTCGGCTTGTTGCCTCGCTTGTCATTTCCCAAATGCGTTTCCCAGCGCGTGGTGGGGTCTTAATAGCTGAGAATTTTTTTGAAGAAACATCAAATGGTGTGGGTGAGCTATTTGATGCTATACATGCCAAAGAGAGCAACGCAATCCTCCATGGTGATTCCAAGCCATACTCTTGGTTTGTAGTCCGCGCCTTTTTATGGAATTTTTGGCAGAAGGCAAATCTACTGTACCGGTATTACGACCTCAAACTCAGGCTAGATTTTGGCTTTCAGTCTATGCCAATGAGTGCATGGACACATAACTTTTTGGTCTCCCCGGGAACTTCTTTACTTGAACGTTCTACCCAACTATCCTGGGAGCAAAAACCTGAAAACAGGTGCACATGGAGTTTTAAAATGGTACAGGTCAACCCACTCTGCTTGGGTCTTGATTCACGACTTCTTCATCGTCGATTCTCTGGGGCATTCCATGGTACCGGGGCTCGCTGCCGGTCTGACTCGGAGTCTGCATGTGAGGGCACGGGTCCAAACTGCCTACGACATCGTGGGGCTTTGATCAGCGACCAATCTGCTCACGCGTCTTCCTGCTCCTGTAAAACCCCCAACGAGTTCAAACTGGCTTGGAACGAGTCATCTTACCTCCAAGTTGATGGGCCAAGAGCTGTGTCTGTCAATGAAACTAATATTCAGAATGATGGTTTGCATTATTGCTGCGCTTCTGATACAACACTCGCTATCTCTCATGTCTGGAGCCATGGTCAAGGCGGAAGGCCAGAAACTGGTATCAATAAATGCCTTCACGCTCGGTATTCCCAAATTGCAAAAAGCATGGGCTGCGAATCATATTGGATGGACGTTGTCTCAATTCCAGGAAATCACGAACTACGTCAAGAGGCCATTTCTCATATTAACGGGGTGTTCTCTAATAGCCGCGCTGTTCTCGTTTGTGATAGGGATTTGATGCTATTAGATGTGTCTAAACTTACAACAGATACAAAAGAGCGTATCCTCGTTGCTACTCTCTTCAGCGATTGGAATGGCCGAGCCTGGACGATTCTAGAAAGTTGGAAAGGCCGACGAAAGATTTTTCTGCTTTGCAAAAATGACAGTATAGTCGATTTCCGAGAAGCTGTATTTGATGTTTTCTCCAATGGCAGAATTGACATTGCCGTGTTTGCGAACCTCTTCCCACATCTTCTACCCTCAGCTAAAGAGCGTAACAAATCTCTTGGTTTTACAGAAGTTAACATCGCAATTGCTGGATCTTGGTTGAGCCATCGGCCTGCCAGCCGAACAAGCGATGAATTCGTAATATGGAGTCTTCTTATTGACGAAGAAAGATCGCCATGCTACAATGCAGAGGACTTTTGGAGGGCTCAAAGCTCAGTGAGCACTGGCTATCTGATGTCCAGCATTCCACGGCTTAATGTGAAGGGTCTGACCTGGGCCCCCAGTACACCCTACGCACTGGCTCAACCCGGACAACCGTCTCAGACCATCGACCCCATTCAGCCTCCAATTATCGGCTGGCAAGACGATGGAGCTCTGATTGAAAAAGATGGTTTATGGGGAAAATGGTATTCTTACGAATTTCGATTCCGGTTTAGGACGGCTAAGCAAATTTTGAGAGGCCTTCGCCATCCAACCAGCGGGGTTGATTCTTCAATAGAACGTGAATTGGAAAGGATTCAAGCGCTACTTGACATACGAGAAAAACATGTTGTTTTATTACAGCGTGTCACGGAGAGGCACCTTAAATTCATGTCTGATATCAATGGCCGTCGACGCTTAGTAGTGGTCTGTGAATCCGACAAGAAAGAACGCAAACGGCAAAGAGATAGAATTTTGGGATCGAATAATTCGTTTCCAATATCCTATCGATGGCAATGGAAGGGTGTCTATGAATGGCCTGAAAATGTCGCCATGCCTCAATTTGAAACGAACTCCACTTGGCAAGGCACCACTTTTTGGATCACTTGAACAAAAGTGTCTGCTTCGTCAAAAGATAATAGTGATTTTGTGGGAGTGCTTTCGGTTCTTTTAAACATCTGTTTTAATCTATTCTTCGGTCTTGCACTAGGGCAGTGCGATGCCACGATACTTCAATGTGGGTAGCTCAGTTCAGTCAAGGCATGGCAGGGTCGCAAAATCTCTTGGATTGGGGGAGCGACTACCAGGTCAATATTGCTGATGATGTGCCGAACCCTGCATTTTTCCGACCACCCTGCAGCATCAGGACGCAACGTGTCGGCTCCAGCTTCCAGCAGGGATTGAAAAATTCTTATATGGCAATTCCAACTTGCCAGGTACAGAGCTGTTCGGCCTGCAGCATCTGCGAGAGCTAAACTCGCCTCTTTGTTCACTAAACGTCTGTCTATAGTTTGCTTGGCTTCAGCTGCTGCCGCACTGAGCGCAGTGCTGAATTTAGCCTCCTGACCCTCTCCCAATTTGACCCACTTTTCCGGCCTCTTCCTCCGCCCGTCCAATTTCCACAGCTCGCCCGTCCTGATATCCTTTTACAAACGCCGCAAAATGAGCCGCTTCCTCGGCCAAGTCGAAGTCACAGTCCTCAAGAATACGCAGGGCGGTCGTAAGAGACATGGCTCAAATCGCATTCTGTTGTGATAGTAACAGATCGTTTCAACCAAGTATCCAAAGGTGCACCTACCAGTTGTCACAGCACTATCTATACGTGATGAGAGTGACAGTGACAAAGCAACTGCATTTATACAGGAATAGAGGGGCTTCAACAGCGTGACGAAGTCGTCGCGAGCAGAGCGAGAGGTTCCAGGGATCCGGCCTCCAAGAGCACATGGCAAAGCTCTTCTTTGCGCCAACAGATTGAATAATTGGGGCACTCCCAAATAGCTTCCGCTCTTTTCTTCCTAAGATATCGCTCAACACGAATCAGTTTCCCATCTGCAACTTTTTCGGTAACAGCAACGTCTCGAACAGCGAAGGAGGGGGCCCAGATTGTAATCGCGCAAGAACGGACAGTGGTACAAAGTGCATCTGTGAAGCGCTAACCACATTCCATGCTGGCTCACCTTCTAGCTCACTCAATTCTGGTGCTGAAGCGGCTGGTTGGGAGCAGCCCAACCCCCACGTCATGTCACTGCTGGCCCACTAGGCAACTAGCATACTTGTAACAGGAGGATCTACTTCCCAAATACATTCCAAACAAGATATGTATCGGCGAAACCCTGCCATTCAGCGTAAGAACGATCTACACCGTTCCAATCTGGCATGCTACTCCATCGTTGCGCAAAGTACTTTTCAACTGTACTGCCAAGCGGACCCGTCCACAGATCTTTAGTATCTGTGTACCCAATTCTAAACACTGTTGGGTATCAGATCCCAGCCGGCTCCCAAATCTTGTCATATAAACGCAGCTTTCCCTCTCAACTGAACACGACAATGTCAACAACTTCGAAGAATTCCTTCTACGCTATCAACAAAATTCAATGAAATTAAAGGATCCGCAAGCTCTATAAAATGCCCGGCCAAAATCTATGCTTGCTGGCTCTCGATGGTGGGGGCGTCCGCGGATTGTCCTCTCTTCAAATAGTGAAGCAGCTTATGGAGACAATCAACCCTGATCAGCCGCCTAAGCCATGCGAGTATTTTGACATGATTGGAGGCACAAGTACTGGCGGGCATGTGATCTATCGAGATATAGAAGCATGCGGCTGACTGACTTAATTAGACTGATAGCTATCATGTTAGGTCGCCTACACATGGATGTTGATGAGTGTATTGAGGCCTATATCCGTTTTGCCGACCGGTTTCTAAGAAGACAGGGCCTCCACTCAATCTTTGCTGCCGAGTTCAAAGCAGGTTTAACACAAAAGCCTTAGAACAAGAAATCAAAGGAATCGTTCGCAGATACACAGGCTCAGAAAATAGCATCTTTAAAGATGAGGAGGATGCGTCATGTAAAGTGTAAGTCAAATTCTTTCTACGGATTTAGAATTGTGTTGACCAGTAACGTTCACTTAGCTTTGTATGTGCCACGCGGATGGAAACTGCAAGGTCTATGCAGTTCAAAAGCTATCCATCTAGGAGCTCCTCCGATATTCTACATTCTGCTCGGATCTGGGAGGTCGCTCGAGCTACTTCTGCTGCCCCATCATTCTTTGATCCGATCCAGATTGGTCGTTTTGGTGAGTGCTTTAGTGATGGAGGGACAGGTGCAAATAATCCAGTCCATACGGTTTGGAATGAGGCCCAGCACACTTTCTTACGTGAGGGACAATCGCTCGAGGAAAATCTCAAATTTCTGGTCTCAATTGGCACAGGCAAACCTTCACTTACGGCATTTGGTAATAACTTACAAACAGTTGCCCACACACTAATAAGAATGGCTACAGATACGCAAAATACAGCAAATTTATTCTCCAGCGCACATCGACAGCTCGGATTAAATGGTCAATACTATCGTTTTAACGTAGACCAAGGTCTAGAGGGTATAGGGCTGGAGGATGCCGCAAAAGCTGCTACAGTTATGGCAGCGACTAGACATTACCTGGAATCTACGGAGTTGGAGATACAGATGCAAAATTGTGGAAAAAGATTAAAGCGAAGAGGACCTAGAGCTCGAAATGCCTCCAGTCCAGGCGCAAGTCCACCTCGCAATCAGAACAATCGGGCACGCCCAGCACTCCGACCCATTTGTCGTGTCTCATGATGCGATCTGGATGATTGGTAGAACTCTTATTCAACCTGTTCTATTTTGCGGATTAAGACCATTGAAGGCATGTGGTATGAAATGGTCTAGGCGTCAAGAGATCACATGAACTACATAGTATCTAAAGCAAGTCAAATATCTCATTTTTCTGGCACGATACTAATGCTGTAGAAATCGCCTTATGAGGTGTCAACCTCTCTTGCAACCAATACTAAGCCCACCTGATGCCCAAAGATGTGGGAAAGGGGGTGGCTAGGTAACTCTTACCTGCCCGACTGGTGTTGGCGACAACTGGATTGGCCCCTTTTGTGCATCGTCTAGGGTAGCATCTCCCAGATTCTCATGATGGACGACGTCATCAATGATATGACAGACATCATACGCCGCTGCAGGAGAATGGAGGCAATAACGTGCTTGGCCGCAAACGACGTGTTCACCAATTTGCTTAATCCTCGACCATGTGCTGACTGCTGTGGCGGGAAGGGCGTCGTCGTCGGAGGAGGAATCCGAACCGAACTCGAATAGCTTGGCAGATGTTTGAGGAGGATCTCATTAGCATCGTGTGTGACCCTCTGCGAAGTGCGTAGAGAGCGGGTTGTGTTATTTATCTACTAAGGGGCAGCTTGCGTAAATACACGTACAAGTGGGCTGTACGGTACAGCGAAATTAGCAAAGAAATTGCAATAGAAAATGACCAAACAAAAGCAGACAGAACGTAGGGATTACGCGTAGAAAACTGGCCAATAGATGCTCACACGATCTAACAATTGTCCAGATCAACCCCATTGCCATCTTGAAAGGTTCAATAGCGTTCTGACGAAGTACAGGCACGACTAATTACCTTGTTCTGTCAAGATGTCTGGTCCGGATACAAAGCCTTGAAACGCAGGGAAACGAAAACGTAAGCCTGACGACACCCAAGATGCTCGTCCTCTGCGCCCTGTATACCGCCCTCCATGGAGCATTGCAAGAACTGTCTGTCAATTTTTCAAGGAGCAAAATCAGTGCTCACAGGACAGCGTGCTCTTGCAGTAAGTGTGGCATCCTAATCTGCTGCAAATCGCGCTGTTGGGACTTACATTTGACGAATCCATTGTAGGATTGTGTGTTGCATTTCTGAATGTACACTAATTAATTAAGGTTCGAATGATCGATGTCCATTGGCTGATTCTCCGTTGAAGTTCTCTTGGCACGCGGGTGCACTGGCTAATAAAAACCTGGCGACAATTTACACCAGTTTGAAGGACAAGCGCGTAATTTCGAAGGGAAGTCATGACGCACGGTAATCTCGACCCCTGCTATTACGACATGTAGTACAAAAGTTATCTTTTGTTCAGAAACGCGAAGGACAGACTTCCAATAATAAAGGACATTATAGCTAATATATGTCAGAAATCAACATCTCTTGCTCGATGGAGCTCGGTTTCCAGTAAGGAAGCGTCTGGAAAGGATGAACTTGGGGGGATAAACGTACCAAGTACCATATTCATATAGTAATATCCTACAGTCCGTGTAAGAGAGCCTGATATAACGGGCCCCATAAGCATCCCCAGATTCCAAGTAAAATTGGTCAGTGAATAAGCGGAAGACATCTTGCCATTGGGCCCGAAACGATTAGGCTGTTCTCGTTGAACATCTTTCATAAGGTCTACATCGGGGAGATACCGTGTTAGTCACGAGGCATGAGAATATCTCGCCTCCGTGACTTCAAAGGGGGGGTAACACGAGGGATAATGAATTCAGGACTTACTTGTAATCTCCATAATCCCAGAGCCGTTGACAAAAGTACGTGCGATTCCAATACCAGTGAGAGCTACCATCGTGATAGTCTGGGCTTTGTTCTCGATACTTGCAAAGAACAGCGACCCATTCGCTGCTGCACCCAAGAGCCAAAGAGAGAACGCCATGGCAAGGCACCCAAAGCCGGTTGGGATTTTCGTCCCAACTCTGTCCTTCAGCATTCCGAGGGAGGGGGCCAATAACAGGGAGGGCATCTGCAAAATCAAGAACATCAAGCTGACTCCAGCAGTGTCCCAACCAAATGTCCTGGTGGCATGCAGAGGTAGGGTGGTATCCAAACTGAGCAGAATAACTGCCATTGTCCATTGACAGGCTAGGGCAGTGAGCGCGCGAGGATTCGTCAGGATAAATGTGTAAAAGTTCTCGGATGGTGTTGTAAGTTCCGGAACTGAAATTGGCTTGAAATTTGTGGCCATGTCTGATTGTGGTTTGCTGTAATTTTCATCCTCATTCTCGGAGGATGGAACATGAAGGAGCGCAGTTTGCTCGTTGACCTCATTCGGATCATTCGCTTGCACTGCCTCGATATCGTTTGGGACTTCGACACTTAATGTATTCTTTTTGTCGTACACTTCTCGGCTTTGTTTGTTCTCAATCATGACAACTCGCATGATCATATCAACAACAAGCACGGAGATAGCAACCATCCAGGTAATCCAATAGCCAACTAATGGCAACAGCATACCGGAGGTTATCGGACCGAAAAGAAGTCCTGACGCAAAGAACGATGAAATCGTGCCCAGAGTCTTTCCTGTATTTTCCTGTCCCACGGTATCGGCGAGGGTAGCAAGCCCTACGATCCATGCTGCATTCCCGCCGATCGCTTGAATTCCGCGCCCGACTAGTAGTATTGGCACTAAAAGAGCAATTAGCAAGTTCATCTGACTAAAGGCCAGAAAAATAGTGTACCAGACGGTGATATCATGGTTACAATTGTCCCAATCATCTCTGCGCCTAGTGACATAAGTAGAGAGCTCTTCCGATTTGGCATTTTATCGGCCAAATGGCCGACCAGCGGACCAGTTACCATGGAAACGAAGGGAGGGACAGAAAGCACCAGAGCAGTGGCGGCTTGTGTCTCCGACTTGCCAACATGAAGCCGATCCTCAAGCATAGCAGGAAGGATAGGAGCAATGTAGCTGTAAAGAAAATTCTCTGAGTATCTGTTAAAACCTTCCTCTATCTATATAGAGGAAGTTACATTACCTGAAAAGAGCGCAATGGCAATGCAAGAGATAATGAACCATCTTGACGAGCGCCATTGGTATCCCAGAGAAAGTCTGTTGTCAAGTGCCATCTTGTGTGGTTGGGCGTGATGCAATGAAGAGTAAAAGGGCCATGGATCACGGTAAAAAGATTTCTGTGATAGCTAACTCCTGACCTTGGCGCCTTTCCATATCTACTCTGACTAAATAACTGTGAAGCAGGTAGAAGAAATGGCTCTGTTCGTTCAAAAAAGGTGCGCAGGGCGCAGAAATAAGTACAAATTTGCTGTACGGCAGAGCGAAATTAGCCGCAAAATTGCAGCAGAAATTGACCAATCAAAAGCAAGAAGAACACATGGATAACACGTACAAAACACGGCCAATGAGCACTCCTGCTGTTTAACCACATCCCCCCCCCAAGTGGCAGGGTGAGTTTGTGCCGAATTAAGCCTGTATGAAGCTCACAATACTGCTAGAATTAGCATAAAAAGGCATGGTGTGGTGTTTGATCCTCCTCCTCTGAAGTATAGCGTAGGCTGCAGATTCTCCTTCTTCTCCTTCTGTGGCGGCCCTTTCGGTCGCTTCTTTGTTAGGATGTGACCTTAGCCCGGTACCGAGGGAGACCTTGGTACGGATCGGAACCGATCTAGTAACTCCTGATCCTAGTACTTACTGATCTTAGCAATTGCAGATCAGAGACCGAGAGAGTCTCTCGGCTTATAGATATAAGCTGACCCTTAAGAAAGCTTAGAGGGCTAGCGTTCTATCTTATGTTGAATAGAAGGCTGCCATTATGCACTTGCTTATACTGCTCTTTATATATGATATCATCTATCTAATGTGGGCCCATCGCCAGGCTCGTGTAATTGGTTGTTGCGATAATAAGCTTAAAAATACGGCCTGAAGAATCAGCGTTGCAATTGGTCAATGTTTCTCCCTTTCTGCCTTCTTGAGATTAGTCGGCAAATAAGCAGTACTTTAGGGCGCCAAGGCTGCAGAACTTTTGCTAAGGCGTACCCCATCAAAAATCAGAATGCACATATAGATGCGCACACAGAATGCGCAGAAAGAGGAGCACAGAATTCGCATATAGAATACGTAGAAAAAAGCGCACAGAATTCGGCTGTACGGCACAGTGAAATTGGCCGCGGAATTGCAGCAGAAATTAATCAATCAAAAGCAAGAAAAATGCAGGGATAACGCCCAGAAAGGCTGCCAATGAGCACTCCTGCCGTTCAACACTAACTAACTAACTAACTACTATCGTGGCAGTCGTGCCAGCCCTGCCATGCAGGCGCATAACAGTTCTCATTAACATCACAAGTTCTATCTATCTTTTAAATGGTATAGACATGTCAATACGTTCTCTTATAATAGTTACCTGTTACGACATCATACTAATTATCTTATCTTATCTAGAATGAACTCATGTGGCTAAAGAAGCGTGATAAGCGTGCGATTCTAATATAGAATTGTTAGGAGTCAAGCCCTACCACCAACTATCTCAACAAGAACACTTGGCCGGTGTACAGCGCCTGAGGAGAACTCGTAGGAGGATGGGGTCGGGCAGGTTTGAGTGGTCATCAAGCGAAACGTATCTTCTGAGCTTGCATACCTCTTTAATCATGTTGAGAAGACGAAATCTGCAATTCAAATGGACCATCTTCTATGGCGGCTCCTTCTGAACATATTTGAATTCCTCTCTGACTGACGATTCTCCTCTCGGTTTTATCAAAGCAGTAGCGGCGCTGGTTGAACTTGTCTAACCTCTTTGCCGCCTCCCTCGTCTTTCCCTTGAAGCTTGGGTTCTGTACAAGCGGTTCAACCATGGTATTCACATCACTATTGTGCAAAATGCCAGCCATGCTGAGTAAGCCGACCGGCTCTTCGTAAAGCATTGATTCTTGGCGTGCGTAGGAGAAGAGAGACATGTTCAAGACAGCAATCGTGACTAGTACACCCAAGATAAAATAGGCCACAGGTGATCGACGACCACCCGGGTCTCCTTCACGGAGTGCCTACCGATGCCGTTTAATGGGGAGCTTGTTGGCTTGAAGAGGACCGTGCTGGCGAAGACTGCAAATGTGGTGGTGAAGAGCGTCTCCGCTGCGTCTATTATGGTCTCCGGAAGTAGAGGCGAGGCTAGATTCTTCTTGCTAGCAATTTTGTAGACATATAGCCCGAATTCATTGCTTTTAACATTGGTCATTGGATCGACGCAGGAAGGGGCTTGAATTTCTGTCTCAAAGAATCTCCATAGAGCGTCCGGCCTGATTTGCGACGACGTGTTCGACGTGTGGGGAGAGAAAGTCCTTACTGAAGGCGGTATGGAGCCGGTTGTCGCGACCAATGTGCCTGGAGTGATCCGGTATGAAGGCGCGCATGAGATAAGGCTGAAATTTGTAACGCTGGCGGATGCGTCCGTGTAGTGTGCCGTTAAGATGCTGAAGCGACTCCATCCTGCATCAGCAGAACATGACGTAGTTGGCCAGACCCTTAGCATAGTTACTGGATGATCAGTTGAGAGCCCTAGGTTGATGAAATGTGAGATTTGGCAACCACGATCGTCTGCATTTATTCCGATTGACAACGCTGGGATTCCGGTCTCGTTGGGTGTAAGAATGGTTTTCCGATACTGTGACTCAGGTATGTATCTGCAGTCACTATGTGCCGAATATGCCGTCGTTTCTAGCGTTACGATGCCGTCCCCAACCTCCTCTTGGGGAACGAATTTCGCAAATGCATATTCCCCATCCGTCCACGGCGGGCGACTCGCGTCCTGGATCCGCATTGCAGCAGCAGAATCCAGAGGTAGACGCAAATCAGGGAGGTTAGGTAGCTCCCCCATGAGGTTCGAGTTGAAGGATGTTTCGAAAGACAATGGGAAGGTAGTGTTGGACGCGTATTCAGCAGTTGTGAAAAGGAAGGACGTTAGTGGTACGGTGAGAATAGCCAGAACCACGGACATGAACATGCAAGCAGCCAGTAGGAAGTGTTTGTTCCGGATTGCTGCCCACCAGCTGTAAATGAAAGGCTCGGACCTGTAGTCTAGCATAATCGTGGACCGCGGAGGCCCTCCAGTGCTTGTGTTCAGGTCAATGTACGGTTGTCTTTCGGCAAAGGCGGTAATTGCTGTTTCCCATACTGTCCTGTATAAAGTCATAATGAAGGTGGGAAACGCCGTATGTAAGATTCCTTGCGTCCAAATAGCCTTCTCCAACGCTGGTCTGCGGGCTAAAAATGCTGGAGGATTTCCCTGCCGGACAAATCCGGAGTTTTTCCTTGACACAACTTCAAGGACAGCAACAATGCTAATGAGTGACAAGACGATGAATAACAGGAAGGATAGCCACGGTCATTTAATCTTCCAGGACTTCCACTCTTTCCTGGTATTTTGACCTGGTGGTGGGTTTTGGGCTGGCTTGACCGCCGTAGCTTGTGGACCTGATTGAGTCCCACTACGTTGAGATACTGTTCCTTGTGACGCCGCAGATTGAGTTGCTGCTGATTGATTCCCACTAAGTTGAGACAATGTTCCTTGAGTTGCCGCAGACTGAGTTGCTGCTGATTGGTCCACACTACGTTGTGATACCGTGCCTTGAGTCGCCGCAGACTGAGTTGCTGCTTGTTGAGCAACCGGCTCAGTGCTTCTCGGCTCATTAGACGAGATCCCAGCAGACGGTGTTGATTGCTGTCTCGCGGACTGAGTTGCTGCTTGTTGAGCAGCCAGCTCAATGCTTCCCGGCTCATTAGACGAGGGCTCAACAGACTCTGTTGATTGATGTCTCGCAGACTGAGTTGACTCGTCGCTGTGATTGCCGGCCATTTTTACTGTTGACCGTACGCGGATAGATGGAACAGGTCGAGGAGAGCGTATTTCTGAGGCCAGCACCAGCATCTATGTACATATCGGCAGGCTCTCGAACCTGAGGCTGAATGATGGCTGAGCCGTTTTACTTCGCGGCATTCGACCGTCTCGACAAGGCTTTTATCGACTGATATCAACTTTGTGTTTCTGGTCTTTGTGATAATGGATCAGCCAGCCTTACTGCCTCAGGTTGACCCTTCGTCGGAGGATGGGAAACGAGTCTTTTTGGCGAAAGCCCAAGCGAGGGGAAAGTGATGAGCAAGGCACTAGCTGCTAGTCACAACGCCATTGGTATGTCTTTCCGTTTTTGGCTGTTGACTATTCCATTTCTGACATGGGTAAAACGAGTAGATCAGCCACGTCGGTCAACTCAGCCTCAGCAAATCAATCAGGGCTGACACGGAGCTCACCTAAGAATTACTGCGTAGTAGTGCGAGTTTGGCAAGCGCTTGGCATCCGTTGATTATCTTCCTTTCATCTCTCGCAACTTCTCCCAGCTCATTACTCAATCCTATCAATCAATTCACGTATACCATTGCAAAGGTCGTGAACACTGCCCCCTCTCATTTTCCTGTTCAGTGATCGACACGCCATCATTAATACACTGTCCCCTCTCCCTTCGTTACCAAGTGATCGATAACGAGCCAGAATCAAAACTCTCACAATGACTTCTTGGGTTTTTCTTTTGCTCCTTGCTATTACCTGCAATATCAAGGCAGGATTCGTCCCCCCGGCAGAGCTTTGTCTCCCTAGTGCCCATCTGAAGGAGCTTTCTGGATGCATATCAATGACCAATAAAGAAGATGAATGTGGCAGAAAGAGTTCAGACGACGAGAAGCTCGATTGCTATTGTACGCAGGAGATGCTCACTTCGTTTTATAAGTAAATTGCGTTCTCTCTTCAGTTCAGCCTTACCTCGCTCCAATGCTTTGCAGACACCTCGATGATAGCCAAGACATCATCCGTTGTGCGAAGATAAAGAATGGCTGACCTCTGTCCACATCTGTGAAAGCGATGTACGGCGATGCCTTGAAACCCACATGTTCGACCCTCAATTCGATAACAAGATTCGGCAATGGCACTCGGTTTGCGACAAACGCATCAGCTCTTCCATGACCACACCTCATGTATCAACAATCACTGCGACGTACGATTTTGGAGCCTGCAATCGGTTGCAATTAAGCTGTATCAGCGCCGATTATGAGACGAACAAGTGCTCTAACGAATACATGCCCACAGCCAGCCTGTCTTACATCTCATGCATATGTCAACCGCCGGTGTACTCGCTCTTCTCTGAATGTCAGTACAACGGGAACATATCGTGCAAGCGGACGACTGCTGCTGAATCAAATATAATGGGGTACTCTGTTTGCTCGTACTTTTGGTCCGGCTCGGTATGTTAGCAACGTCAAGGGAGACATCATTGAGATTCAGCTGACGCATCACCCATAGCAAACACTGTCCTCTATCGATCTCACTTCTTTCTTGGGCATTACTGGCACCTCGACAAACACGGCGTCTGATGCAGAATTGTCACAAACCGTGATGGATATAGCTCGAGTGAATGGCGCTTCATTTATCACCAGAATCAAACCAGCCCCTTCTAGTACAGCCATGATCGCAGTGCAAACGGCAAATAACCAGGCCGGGGTGGGTGTTTTGCCCAACGAGGATTTGAAATGAATGATGAGCTCGCGGACACGATAAGATGATCTAGGGTTAGGTTACCTTGTTGGTTTCCAGGTTTTTACCTGTCCTGCTGCTAATCTGGAGAAGAAAATTTAGATGGTGGAGGTTGAATGGTCCGTCTATTCTAATTTGCTTTCAATCAATTGGGATCAGCGCGACATATTGCAGTATTTCTTCCTCGTGGGTGAAGAGTCCTGAGTAGCAACAAAGCTCAATTGTTCTGAGGTAGAATCTTTTAGCCCCATCTGTGCGAGAGGTCGAAATTATATCTTCGCACATCCCTACCCGAGGTGAAAGCATAATCTAGAAACTTCAATCAAATGGGCACTCCCACACCCAGCATCCTGTGTTTGTGCAAATCGCTTTTCAGCAGATATGTGGTTACATAGAGACAGTGAGACTGGGTCCTATGCCGTTGCTTCCATTTAACAGGGAAAGACCAAGCTGTTCTGCCGGCTTCCAGGTAAGAAAGTGTGAAACAAAGAGTCTTTCCCGATATGAAAGCGACACAGACTCCATGAAGCAGGTATATTTGTTGCCCAGCATTGTGGTGTTGCAAAAGCTGAAGGCACAGTGCCTTCGGAACTGAGCTGTAGGATAATTTGAAGGCTGACAGACTGTTTCAAAGACGGCTGATCATTCTGACTTCGCATCCTCGAGTTTATTCTTTCGTTCTCCGGGGTCTCGGCGATCATACTTCTCTTTCCATTCTCAGCCTTTCCTTCGGTCCCGATCCGAAGAAATAGCCAGGCAACTCTCCATCTGTTCGAACGAAGATTCGTGGGGAATGCGAGACCAAGCCAAAGAGGGAGGTAGAGGACCAATGCGGGTCATCGAGAACGAGCAGTGATAGCAGCTTGAAGGAGAAGTAAAGTTCAAGCTGTATTAATACAAGGAATACGAGACAAGAGGTAGATGTAACAACTACACAGAGAGGGTCAAGATCATAGATAAAGATGAAAGGTCAGACAGTGAACAGGCGGGACATCAGGGTGCCCCGGCAACGATCCTGCACCGCCCGAGGCCCTCGAGCTCGGAAGGTGAGCCATGATGGTCTATAAGTTAGCCAAGGGCCAGATCGGGCTCCCAGCGGATTTACAATGGAAAGGCCTAAGTGAACGCTAGTCCGAAAGTAGAGAGATGGGGTTAGTGACGTCCTCTTGCTTACATAATGGACAAGTTCAACGCGTCCCCCATAACTTACGATAAAAAACCACCAATTTTGGCTTAAAAACTACGACTTCAGAACATGGCGCCACTTTCCATCTCTCAGGCTCTTCTCTACACGCTCTATTAGAAGGAGGCAGTTCAATACATTCCCACGTATCGTGGTTAGTCAGCACTCGGCATGGCAGTCCACTCCTACTTTTGCTCCATAAGCAGGTAGGTAGGCTGAGTAGACGAAAGAGATGCATCCGTGACGCGGCCGGGCTTGAAATTTCTATCCTCGGTGAAAGTTAGCTCCTCAGAGAGCCGGACAAGGGATGCTAGTTTCCAAGGGGCCAAAAGCCCTAGAGATACTCGACACCTCAACTCAACTTCACCGTCACGCCACTCATCGGAAAGCCAAAAGCTCACCTCAATAGTGTGTGCTACTTCGGAACAAGCTCACGTCACATTACGTCGTAGGAAAGTGACACTTCATCCCCAGAAACTTGCACGATCCATGTATCCAACTTCTTGAAGCCATTGGCCATATATAGAGGAGCTCCCATAATACTGGCCTCGACGCCATGGAATAAGAAATGCCTGTCCGCCTCGCTGATACCCCATTAGACAATCCTCGTGCCACTCCTCAACGACGGAATTCTCGGTCCTTCAAAAGGAGCTCCATTGGTCACCAGTAGGGCGCGTCTGAAAACTACTTATCCTTGACCTGGTCAGTCGCAATAGCAAGAGCATCCACACGTGCTGGACCGCCGTCGCGTCTCTGGTTCTTGCGGTTTATTGACCATCCAACCATCCTCGCAGCTATGCCTGGCGGGTTCTTGGCGGCGGATCATGAGGCAAAGACAGAAAACGAGCATTTGCCAACGACAGGGGACAGAAAGCATACGTATGTAGTGTGAAGGAAGGAACGAATGGCGTTCATCCAAGTGTTCTTTGCCGCAAGTCTCTGCCTTGCAGCCTTGTTGCATCCAAATCACTCCCAGACACTATATGAGATGATGATGGCGGCCGGCCCCAGGACATTTCTCCGGACCTTGCTGTCATTCTGACCATCAATCTCAATCACAAGAACCGTTGGCTTTTGGTCCTAAAAATATCTTTCCAACTTCAACTGCCACCAGAAGAAAATGTCCTCAGGGTACGCTTTGCGCTTAGTCGTAGGTTGGATCGTCTATCAGCGACGTGGTCGTGATCTTGGTCAGACGATGCAAATTACGGGTCATTGCCAGGCGCAGACGCATCATGATTTGAAGATGGAATGGTACTGGGTTTTTGTATGAGCAATTACGGTGTGAGTTGGGGTAATCTGTAGGATCTTTTGGTCCCTGGTACTCTGGCAAAAGCCACCAGGTTTGTACAAGAAACATGTCTGGACCTATTTTGCAGCGGTTAGGATCACTCAATAGACGCACAAACCTTGTAACGCGTCTAGTGCCTCTCAGCACCGATGGAGGACCAACCCTTTTCAGTCGGTTCTCACTGTTCGCCCAAACGGATACAGCAGACTCATGCTGCGCAAAAAGTGTTAAATGGCTCTCTGCTCAGCGACTTCAGCCGAGAAAGTCCACTAGCGTAACTATATTAGCGGAGTAGCGCTGCCATGCAGCCTCTTACAGTCCGAGATCAATCGCTGCTCGTCCAGACTCTGTTTCGTCCACCTCTGCCGAGCATTGATCACAAGGGACATTCCGGAGACTTAGGGCAAAAACAATACTGAGCCTAAAACTACGCAACTCAGGCCTGCACTTATAGATAGAAGAAATTGTGTGGAACGTTCAGCTTTCCACTCATCAAAAGTCTTGTTCAGAGCCGAAATGAACATCACAAATTACGCTCCCTTATGGCGGAGGGAATATTGCGGCCATAGTCCAGACTCTATAGGCTTTTCGAAGTCAACTTTCTAAGTGTCAAATATTGATCTCTAGCATGCGATTGTTTTGCATACGAACCGAACGTGTGCCACATACTGGCCATGAATCAACAACTTTATAGTGCAGAGGAGGTAGCAATCACAGTATCTGCAGAAATCGCCACGATGAGCTCAAAAATTGCATATGAGATTGCTCGATCTGATTTCGACAGTCAGATTGTGGTAACCGAACGATCATCTCGGAAAAGAAAGGCGGTCTACCTAGCTTTCTAGTACCGAGGAGTAGTCCACTATCAGACAGTTCTGCGTCACACCAAGCGAGATACATAAAACAACAATAGGTGGTGCGAAGCAAGCGCCTGCAGGCGCTAGACACCGTGGATTAAAATTAGCCAGAAAACGTGGAACCTCTCCCACTGACCACTTCTGTTGCCATACTCAAAACAAGTGCAAATGCGACTGTGGTAGACGTAACGAGGAGCCATTTGGATCGCTTAAAATGGGAGAAGAGCCAGCTTGAGCGGATAGAACCAAGCGACATCCCAAAGAATTGATAGGTGAAGAGCCAGATAGACAATATGGCTGCTAGGCTTGGAGAAACTTCATCATGTAAAGAAAATAAATGTCAAGCTGAGTTCCTTAGCAAAAAATTCCAGGCTATGTCTTGGTAGTGAAAATACCTCGTTTCCTGCAAAGATGATAAGCGCGGTGCACGAAAGAACCTTCAAGAGCTGCGAGGAGCCAAAATGCTGCAATGGTAGAAGTGGAGACTTGACCCTGAATACTCCCAAATATGTAAAGCATACAAATGACAGAGGCCTTGAGTAGAAGAGTAGAATTTCGGTAGGATGCTTCCACGCAACCAGATTGCCACCAAGGTTAAGGGCCACCAGAGGAGTGATGACAGCGGTTGGGGAAAGGATGCTCCCAGCCAAGCCGAAATTTTCACCGCTAAACAGCCCAAACGTGATGGTTAGCCGAGATGAATCTTCCAGCTTACATCTACTTACTAACCATGTAGGGTTGAGAAAAGTGCTGCAGCGGCTACCGCTGCCACAATAGACTCGATCAGGAAAGGTGTATAACAGTGCGTCAATCATAGTCGGCGTATTGAAGAGAAAGCCATATATATGCCACGACGTGGCTGCCACCAATGATGACCTCAAGCTCTCCCGAGCATAGAGCCACAACTTTGCACAATTACCAACACGCTCATCCATAATGGCGGCCTTGCCAAGGGGACCACGTCTATGAGCAAGGGGGCAGAATATGACGGGCGAAGTAAATCAGAGCATACCGGTCAGCACTACGACGGGTAGAGGAAACACCCCTGATGCACTCATGCGAAAGACGATTCGAGCCAATGCAAGCTGCCATAGGGTTGGACTGGCCCAGCTATCAAAATGAGCGGTCCGTTAGCTAGGCCACCATAACTAACAATATCATCAAAGATTTTGTTTACCACAGCAAGAGACCAATGGCCAAAACGATCGAGGCTGTAATCAATGGACGTGTGGTGCCATATAGCTTCCCAAAGTAGCCGTACTAAGGCCCGATCAGCAAACGGACATGCTACCCAGCCATCTCTTCTCTTGGCTCACCAGCGGCTGACAAGCTGCGTCACTAATAGAACCAGCAAGGGGAATCCAGACGCCATTCGCAAGTTGGTGCAGATCGGGAACTGTCATGAAGTCAGTGACCATATTGAGGATTAATGGCACATCGGAACGTTACCAGTTTGCTGGTTGTAATTTGCCATGTAATATGAGACATCGAAAGCAACAACGAAAGCCCTGCCGATTTTGTGAGCTTACCAAATCGTGGGTCATGCGTCGGATGAGTCGTATACCTGCCCTAGACTGATCCCGGGAATAGAAATCAAGTCACGCTTTGAAGCATTCTCCTGTTGATGATCAACAACAGCATCTCGCAAATGCATCTCGTGGCCCCGTTCATTGGTCGCCTGATCCGCCAGTAAGGGCGATGTCTCTGTCCAGCCAGACTGGTTCTCCCTGCCGCTCACCATGTTGGTTCAAGAGATGGACAGGGACAACCTAAAAACACTCATCAGATACGAACCAAGGTGTCAAGTCAAAAAAGTGGTGTATATCGAAGAGACGCCCTGCAACCTAAATGAATCACCGCTTGCGGAGAGGTGAGGCTGACGCTAAAGGACAGCTTTGAACACGACTTCGGTTGACGTACGAGGATGGCCCGGTCTCAAGATTGGCAACGATGCGGTCCCAACCCATGGGCCCTGCGTGCGCCTGCTAGTTTATCGAGAAGTAGAACCGAAACTTTTCGACACGAGCACGTTGAGCTTTGAGGATAAGTCGACTGCTTTCCCGACCAAGTAGTTCACGACATGACGGAGGTACTGAGCACAGAACATGATCATCCTAAGACAAAAATTCTCAGGGTTCAAGCGCCGACACAGGTAGCAGCATTGATCAGAACCGCATGCTTAGCGTCGGTGAAGATCCAATGATATCTCGCCTGTAGACTTGAAGGGTACAGCTCCGAGGTCCGTATTTCCCAGATACAGAGTTACTTCAATTTCTAATGACGACGTAACCATCCTGACACTGTTTCCGGGTCTCTCTGGTTTTTGGTCGTGGCATACACAAGGAACGGATTTTGATCAAATAACCAACAAGAAGAATGAGGAGGGGACGGAAGAGGTAAGTCTTCTAGTGGGCTTGAGAGCGATATGAGAGATTGGTGGAGTAGGTAGCGCGATGCGATACGAAGCGATGTGTAGATGTGGGGAGAAATAAGTGATGGTTCGGAATGTTTGGGGAATGGATGAGATATATTATTCTTTTGACGTATGGAGGAAGAAGGAGAGCAGTGTGGCTGAAAAGGGTAAGTTAGTAACTATTTGGCGAGCCAGGTGGGAAGGACATTTGTTGTGGCCATTTTTGTTCATCAATGGTATGATCATTCTGGAGAAGCTTTTGCTGCTTTGGGTCAGCACAGGGTGGTGGAAGCTTAACGAGTAGGCCCGTCCAGTTCTCCCCTCCACGGTGTCCAAGCCATACTGACACTTAATCGTCAGATCTAGCTACGCTGGCTGAGGAGAGGCTACTGAGAGGAAGGGTACAAGTGCGAGATGTGTCGCTCATATTCTCGATAGCGCATCACCTATGCTAAAGCATGTTCAGAAAAAGAAACCAAGACGGTACGAGTACTCGACATGGTTCTGCTCCATAATACAACGGATCTGTTGGACCAAAAGGACCGCGGCCTTAGAGGACTGCGGCCTTAGAGGACCGTGATGTAGATTTGCTTGACAGAACCACGTCAGTCCGTTCTTTTAGCCGAGCGATACGTCTAGAGGGCATACCCAAACTGTTCTTCCGTCGGGGGTGGTCGGATCCTGGGAGAGAATGATGTATTACTACCAAAAACCAACGCTTTGAATGCAGAGTAAGCAAATTTGTGGCCTCGATTATCTTCTAAATTGGAGGCTAAGGCCGAGGCCAGTACGGCGGACTATTACGTGCTAGAGCCC